GAAATAATGATCATTTTGAAAAGACTATATCTTTGAAACAACATACAATTTTTTTCATGAAATATTTCGTTCATTCAACATCAACTTGAATTTTCGCCACTAGATGGTGATCTTTTCGCCTCGTCTATGCCTGCCTCGAATTCATTATATACGTGAAGAGAGAAGTAAACACTAGACTCACTAGAGATCTATGCTACAAACTAGAAGTCGACTGGTTTCCTAGTTTAGTTTATTCTATTGATGTGAAATTTCAGAAAATTCGCGAATCAATACTGAATTTAATAGAAATACAATTTCTCTTGAAACAACAAAATATTTCATTAGATCAACAAATCATTTCATTGAATCAACCAAATATTTCATTGATTCAACCATATAATTCATTGAATCAACCAAATATTTCATTGATTCAACTAAATATTTGATTGAATCAAGATCTAGTTATTTTGAATCTAACGGAATGATTGTTTGAGCCAATTAAATTTCTCTTCATAAACAATTCATGGATGTGCTTGATTGAATGAGATCCAGAGTTCATGCAAGACATATTTACTTGATTCAAACTTATAATTCGTTCTGAAACAAGATATAGATTTACTCATTTCAAGATTATATTTTGTCGTGCATATATGACACTTATATTTGCTTCATTCAATTCAATTTTGCATGATTCAACAATTCCTTTTTTATTCGTGTATAACCCCATCCTCACGAAATACCAAACTCTCAAGGAGATTTACCAAATAATTTTGTGAATGTTGTAAAAAAAATAGAATGAAGTATTGAAAGAAAGTTAGTATGGTTCCTATTTTCTAACGTATATACATATTCAATCAGACCTTCTGATTTTTTTTATGACGACGTCTATGTCTATATAAACACTTCTGCCACAGCTTGTGCTCTTGCTGTGGAGATGAAACTAGTTCACTGGTCATAACATTTCAATTATTCCAATATTTGCATATTCTGCCGTTGTTGTTATATTCGTTGAAATCCTTTATTATGAGTAATAAAGCTCTGCCCCAGTTTGCCATATTCAATTATTTTCTACATGACATTTTGATTGAACATCAATAGAACAATAAGACGTACAAGAATAAATGGCAGCAACCTATATTTAAAACGGTCGCCACACAGCCTAGACACCGTTAGATTTCTTTTATTTTCTACCCTTGCATTATAAGCAGAAACACATAATTTATTTACAAACAATGATATACTATCTGTCGTTTCTGATGTGATTATCCTTATTCGTATGGTCACCAAGAGCAATCATTGGGAAATAGTAATAGTATAAGGCGAACAAAGCTACAAGGCGAGTCAAAAAAAACACTGTACTGTGTATAGATATCGCGTTCTAGATCGCGTTCAAAAATTTAATGAGATGATTTTTTCCACGAGTTTTCTATCAAAGGTAAATCGAGCGTAACTCATCCATCATTTTTTATTTACCGTTAGAAGAACATAGATAATATAGGCATTCAAGAGCAAATGCAATGTATCTAAAAAATAGATCAAGACATATCGACGTCTTTTATAATAACGAAGTAATTGACCATTAGTCGGCATCCGAGGATGTAATTAATGAAATGTGATGATCTTATTATCGATTTGGGTGCAAGTTCTTCAAATGAATGTGCATCATTAGTTATTTGGTATTCGTAAATGACAAAAGTTCACGCACGACAGAAAACTAATTTCCGAGATTGAAACAGCCAGTGAATAAGTTACATTTTTTCAGCGATCACGAAATCGTTCCACACCGTTCGACGTCCAATCTTTCATTTTTACCAAGGCTAAGAGACTAATACACATGTCAATCCGTCGTTAATAAAACGAATTTTCGAAAAATCGCCTGCATATAACGCTAATTGCTGCATGTCTGTCAATCAGTCTGTCAGAGGCGAATATACACTTGACACGCCCTCACGTTGAGTGATTTTGAAAGCAGCAATCGCCATGCCAGAAAATGCAATTAATTTTATTCACCCCATCGACCTCACATCCACACTCACATATTTGCATATCCGTGCTAAAGTGGGCAGAAATTCGGTTAAACGATGCAGGAACTTTAACAAAACGTCAACATAAGGTATAGCCCTTTGGGAATTCAAAAAATTCAAAATTCAAAATTTCTTTAATTCCTTTCAGATCAAGACATATCCATATAAAAGGTTTTTAAACAGACATGTATGATATAGGAAGCGTCAGCAAATGTAGGAAAAAAATGTTCTATCAATAGATAATAAACGACCCTAAGTAAAAAATAAAACATTGAGATATAAAATCACAATGAATAATAAACGACACTAAATAAAAATAAAACATTAAGATATAAAATTACAATTAAAATCGAAATTTCTTGTAACGTCACACCGAAACACTGTTGAAAAGAACATGAATATTTCCATCCCTATTACAGTTTTGGTTTACTGGCAAAAAACTGACTTACTGAGTAATAAACTTTGGGTAACAGATAGTTTTTCAATTCTACCTTAAACTTGTTTATGCTTAAGATGTCCTTAATTCCAGATGGTAAATTATTGAATATTTTGATTGACATTGCATGGGGGCCATCCATGGCACTGCTCAGGCGATAATGAGGAGTGCATATTCTAGTTTTTCCACGAGTATCGTAACTGTGAACATCTTGGAGGGTTTTATATTGATTTAGCCTACTTTTCACATACACTGAGCATGCAAATATATATACTGAGATAACGGTGAGTATGTCATATTTAATAAATAGCTCTTTGCATGAGTGCCTCCGAGGTACCCTCGCAATTTGCCGGATTAAGTTTTTTTGCGATATCAAAACTGCTTCAATATTCTGTGAATTACCCCAACAGATCACGCCATACGATAGCTTCGAGTAGCATTGGCCATAGTAGAGCATGAGTAAAGTGGAATCACTGACATGCGGTCTGAGTTTTCGAAACAAAAAAGAAAGAGAATTCAAGGCCTTACATAGTGCCTCAGTATGTGACAGCCAGCTCAGTTTGGAATCGAGGTGAATGCCCAAAAACTTTGTACTATTCAATTGTTGTACAGTACTCCCATCATCTGATCTCACTAATATACTATAGTCAAATGGTTTATTTTTGTTTTCGAAATGAATGATATGAGATTTTTCATTATTTATGCTTAGACAATTCTGCTTTGACCATTCATTCAATGTTGATTAGCACGACACTGGCCAATAGATTTCTTCCTAAAAATTGCAATATACACGGTGTCGCTCAAAGGTCTGTACAAAATGTCAGCATATAATCCTACCTCTGTCCAAAATTGCTCCATCTCCGAGAAACAGGATGGTGAATTTGAAAAATAAAAATCGAATTTATCAAAATGTATGAACATGTTTGTACGTAGGTATCACCAACTGCACTTCTTATTGTTTAGAATGGCTATAACTTTGTTCTGACTGTAGTTTTTCACTTGTTTCGTTGAGAAAATTATTTTCTGAATATTTGCAAGCAAGAAAGTATACTTGTGAAAATTCGCTAAAGTGAAGTAAGGAATATTCAAATTATTCTGAATAAGAAATGTTTGCTGTTTTTTTTCAAATACGGTCCTGATTTTTTTCACTCTGAAGTCAACCATGTATTTTATACAAGGTGGTTTGAATGTTTTTCGACCTAGTTTCAGCCATCATCAATGTTTTTTCGAAATTTCAACGAGGAAATACCATCAGTTCAACTTATTTCTGATCATTCGGTGTTAAATATTGATGTAGTAGTAGAAAATTATTCAATGTAGCGCTTCAAATATAGTTTCCTACACGAATTACCTTGATAGGTAAACTTTAACATGAACAATTGAAAAAGAATACATTCATAACAAATCTTCAATATTATAACCATCATTTTCCTCATAAAAATATCCTCTTTTTCTAAGCATTTCGATAACACTGTCCTTTCGTTCTTCTTCGTTAACAAAGTTTTCAACGTATATAACTACTTCATCAATGTTTAACACTGAATGATCAGAAATGAGTGAATCTGATGCTATTTCCTCTTTGGCATTTCGAACAAACTTTGAAGATGGCTAAAACTAGTTCGAAACGCATTCAAATCACCTTGTATAATACATGGGTGGATTCAGAATCTGTGAATACAGCATCAGTACCGTATTTGAAAAAAATTAAGTTGATGGTTCTACGAATACGAAACGTCGCGTAGAGAAATCAATCACCTCGTTAAATCTCACTCATCAAAAGTTGCTATGGAACAGTATTTTTACGTTATCTCAATATCTGAATATAACGTAGGAAAAAATAAAATGAATTTTCCAAAAATTAACTTTTTTCGATATAACTAAATTTTTGACCATTTTCGAAGGCCGTTTGTATTAACCTCAGGATGCGCAACTTTTTTCCATTTAACCGAATTCGTATCTACTCCCGTTTCCAAGATATCTTGATCACACTGTATATAGTACTTATATCAAATTCTGCTGTTAGAAGTTATGGAAACACCTTGTATATTGAATTAATTATATACAAATATTCTTGTTGGTATTTGCTTAACCATATTGTGCCACATAAGGAGATTTAATATGGCGCCATAAACACTACCATTGGAAAACTGTGTAGGACTGAAATAAGAGCTCCGTCGTAACTTAGTATGAGTAGGCTATCAAATTAATAGTAACGTATATATAAGTATAATTGCTAACAGATTCTAGAACTGCTAACTAGTTTGGTAATTTATGTTACGTTCAAATTAATCAAAAAGTCGATTAAAATAATCATTGCTATACAAGTATACACCTTCACAAAATATCTGTGTAGGAACATGTCAGATATTATTATGATATGGTGTCACAGCTACAGATTATCAACAACATTTTTTGTATTCCCAAATAAAATTATTTGGTTGGGTTATCTACCCAAAAAATATAAATTTCACGTGAGAAAATCTCTAACTACATAAGTACACCTTGTGATGTCTTACTATAAATAATAATAATAATAACTATAGTTTGTTCTTCTGTTTCAGTGCTAAGTATGAAGAGACTCTATTGGACGATATTACTGGTGCACATGGTGACGGTGTTGGTACGTGCAGAACCGTCTGTGCACATTTTGGCCGAAAATTTGGAACAGATCATCACCTCAAGCACATTAGAATGGGTGGCGACTAATGGCGAAGACAAAGAAGTTCTCAAAAATGCCGTCGTAGCGGCATATCAAACTGTCGAAGGTCGGTATATATGCATTTTTTCTTTAAAAAAAAACTCTAAGAACCTCTAAAGAAACTTATTGTATAGATCTTGAAAGAATTACAATTTTCATCTTTCATTTCGGAATGTATCTAGAAAAATCTACTTGAGAGGGGAGATTGTAAATGTAACCTACTAAAAAAAAAAAAACTCAAAAGTGTTGAATTGCTGAGGCCTAGTGGATCGTTAATTAAAAAATTATAAGTTTGGCGTTTGTTGCTTTCTAAGGATCCTATAAATGATTTGCTACTTGTAAAATTACGACCTATGTGGTTAGCGTATGTTGAATTTCAAAAAACTCATTTGAAGTTCGTGAATGCAGTGGTTAAATGTTCTACCCGTCTGACCAATATACAGGGTGTCCCGAAACTACAAAGAAATATTTCAACCACAGATTTTGAGAATAAAAATAGTTAAAAAAAAATTATATAAATATGAGCATGAAAAGTGATATGAGTACATGCTGTACATACAAAATTTCGTTATCACAACACAGAGGATGAACTTTGTTTACTATTTTTGTTCCTAGAATCTGTGTTTGACATTTTTCTATGTAATTTCGGGACATCCTGTATAACTCCACCGAATTTAGAAGTTTTGTCTTTATCGTTCCCAACTTGTCATTAATTTTACAAGCAATGAATCTAATTTTTCTGCTTGATCTTCCGAAACAGGTTATAATTTTGATTATGGTTTTTGATGACAATAATAATTCAATGATTGTAATAAGAGTCACGATCTTGATGTTAATTATGGCGACTAATTAACACAGACCTATATGCCGGAGCACAAATCTCACCATGTTATCTGAACAAAGAATTGTCGTCCAATCAGAAGGTTTAACGATGTTATTAATAATATTTCTTGCTCCGCGTACGGAATACATCATTAAACGCAGAATTCTTGGCTCCAAATAGACCGACTGAAAAAATTCTAGCTACATTACAAAGGAATCGTGATTCGGTTCGGTGAACCCGAAACCCGATCGAATCGCCCTGTATTATCGAGGATGCGGATGGACGGTCATCAGAATTCAGAATTTTGTAATAATAATAATGGATAACCGTGCGAACGCCCAAGGTTAATAAATTCGAGATGAGGCTATTGTTGCTCTTTTTTTTTCTCGTATGAATTACTGTTTACAACTCACGTGTAGGTGTAAATGTCACCAAACAGGAAATTATTCAACATCAGTTATCCGATATTTTACCATTCACGGTACGGACCATAAATTTGGACCACGTTACATTTTCTGTGAAACTTCATATACAGGGTGTATCTAAATAACGCCGAAAAAATTTTAAGGGGTGATAACTTGTGTGTCCTAACTTACTCCGTTTTTGAGATACAGGATGTTGAAGTTGGAAGTATCAATTGTTTTCATTTCTAACCCCCCTATATACGCTTTCATGGTGCCAAAATTCAGTGTGGTTGGAGACTGAGAAAGCCCTAAAAAATTCAAAATGATTGTAATTGGCGTTATTGAGTAATCTCAAAGGAAGTCTTGAAAATATCTACATTAAATTTGGAGTCAGATCGAATTTTTATTGTTTCCTCAAAAACTAAGCTAGATACAAAAATCACACAGGGGATAAAAAAGTTGTTATTTCAATAGTTCAATATAATAAAAATATCTCAGAAAAACCGGTTCACCATGAACATCGATAAATTTACCCACTGTGACGCCACTGGAAATATTATTTCAAATTTAGTTGCACCAGAAGAAGCTCCATATTACTATCAACAAAACCACAACGTTTTATTGAAATTGAAGAGAAGACAATGGAATGATGAATAAAAAACGATCTTCCATGGAAATACCCTGTATCTCGAAAACGAAGCAAGTTAGGACACATGTTCATATGAACTTCTTTCCTAAAATATCACAAGGAATCCCTCCTTGAATTTTTTCGGTGTTATTTAGATACACCCTGTATACTCATTCCTACATAATATATCTTCCATTCCATTCTTTCAATATCGTTTTCTCCTGAATTTTCTGTTTTTCATTGTAATAAAAAAAACAGTAGATTATCAACTACTTACTACAACTAGGTAGTATTATTGTTGTGTAGTAGTGTAGTGAAATTAAAATGAAAATAATAAACAATATAATAAATCAACATCGAAACTTCATTTTCTGGTCATTCAGTTGTAGTTTTTCATAAATAGGATAAGAGAAGGGACTAAAACGTAAAAAATCGGCATCGAAATTATTGCCTTGGTGGCAACTGAATACCCATATGAGATCTTCAAATATGTAATTTGTAGCAAAAATTCGAACAAATAAATTGAAAGTAAAAAAAACATAGAAAGAAATCTTTTATTCAAAGCTCTGGAAAAAAGAAGAAAAAAGTTCCTTTCAAATTTTAACAATCAACTTATAACCTCATTATACGCAATTTATATGATCATGAGAGCTTGTCGCGATGATCAATATTTAATTAAATTAAAATTTTGACAGTTTAAACGTAGCAGCTTTTAAATAATTGAACTAGTACTATTTACTTATTTACAAGTAAATCTAATCTCTTCCAGCTAGGTAACATTTAATGTACAGTGCTGCTCAATAAATACGTAAAGACTATTGAATCATCAGTGCAGTCCTCAACACCTTCAACAACGATAATTAGATATGCCACGTGACAGGTTCCTATGCAACCAAAAACACATTTGTATCTCTTCAACAGATATTATCCTTCAATCCATGGGCAAGAATAAATAATGAAACTGCTTTTCTTTTCATGCAGATCCGAAAGATAACGAGGCAGATTCGGACTCGTCCGGCGAGAGTACGAACGAGACGAACAGCGCCGGCCTGGCCCGTCGGCCCGTCTTCGTGTGCCGGGCCAAATTCAACGGCGTTCTGGTGGCCGGCCAGCTGAGGCCGAGCCGGCAACGTCGCTGCATCGTCTCGATGTACAGGTAACACCGAGGAAAATACCTATAGCCCCAAATTGCCGAAAGTAGCACTGATGTATTTCGTTCACTTTCACGCCCAGTAAAAATTCTAAATTTTGTTTATCTCAAAATTTGTTCATTCGTTCTTTTTATTGTCCAATTCGAAAATATATTTCTATGATCGTGAAGTTTCGAAACTTTCCTAATAGGCAAGAACACAAACATTCATGACTTCAATATCATCGTCATTATCTTGATTATTTCCAAGGAGCAATTTACAAATATTATTTCGAAAAACACCATTTGAATATCCTACAATTTCAGGAACGTTCAAGCATAGCGTTCGATGGCAAACTCGTGTATCCAGTACTAACGTCATAATCCCTTTTCCTGTGTTGCCAGCTGTTTTATTTTAAGGAAATATCCAGTAAATATTTATCAATTTTCGAATCGATCCAACTGTGAACCGTCGAGATGATTTGATAATCATTGATGTTGTAAATGCTACTAATTTACTACTAATCGAGTATGTTGTAGCACATTGTAGATACAATCAGCAGCAACAAAATTCGGTAGTTTTTTGAACACCCTATATCTCTGTAATCATTCTTGCTAGACCCCAAGTGTGATACATTGATGAAATCAGCTCTTCAGGGAGAATCTAAAAATACAATGAAATACAGGGTGTTCCATATCAATAAATCAAGTAGTACTCTGTAGATCGTTTGTTCCGTTCACCCTGTATTTTCTGATGCAACGGGAAAAAAACTTTCATTTCAGATGATTTTTCAAATTTTTAAATCGGTTCAAAAATAAGTGAGCTAGAGGGGGGGACATTCATGGTGAATCACCCTGTATAACGGGGGCATTTCTTTAGGAATTTATTTTGGGAAATCTAGGAATAAGAGAAATCAAAAAAATTATAGTATGATTCATGAAAATTAGGGTTCTTGCCTATTATATCAAATTCACCAAATTGTAATTATAATGTTTGTACAGGAGCGTCACAGAAACCGAGAATTTCGACGTGCTGGTCAGCATAGAGGGTAGCGCTAGGTTAAGCTGGGTGCACAAGAGCAAGTACACGCTGATATCGCAGGGGGCTGTGACCAGCGGCGAAAATATACAGAGGACGTTCGTAGCAAGAAGGCCGACCAACGGACACGATCAGGAAGGTAACAATCGCGATTTTAGAAAAAAACAAAATAAATACCTATATACTTTCTGTAGGTTAATCGAGGAAGTGGTACATTCATTATTCCAGATTTTTTGGGATTTTCTCTCCTCGTTTCTATAAAATAAAAATATGAATATTATTTCAATAAACGTGTAGTAAGGATAAATCATATATGATTTGCCCAAAAATATCACTACGTTTAAAGAATTTTCCTATCAGAGAGCATAAAAGAAAAATTCACTAGCTTTTCAGTGACAATTTGTATTGAAAAAGGTTTGGAGAAGGGAAATAAAGGTATTCGGGAACGAATCTGCTCCCGTTCACAACATAAAAAATGGATATTTGAATAGCAAATTAGTATTTGTCTTGACACCTTTCAGTTTTTAGCACAGTGACAATTGGTGACGTTGGCAATCAAATGAAAACATCATTCTACTCATTTGATTGCCAACGTCACCAATTGTCACTGAGAACTGAAAAGTGTCGAGACAAATACGAATTTGTTATTCAAATATCCATTTTTTATGTTGAAAACGGGAGCAGATTCGTTCCCGAAACGTCCAAAGCTAAGTGAAAATTTGATATTTTTTCTATAAACCTTTATTTCTCTCCTCCAAACCTTTTTCAATACAAATTGTCACTGACAAGCTAGTGAATTTTTCTTTTAGGCTCTCTGATAGGAACATTCTTTAAACGCAGTGACATTTTTGGGCAAATCATCTGATTTGTCCTTACTACACGTATATTGAAATAATATTCATATTTTCATTTTATTGAAACAAGGAGAAAATTCCAAAAACATCTGGAATAATGAATATAAATACTTATATTTTTTTAAATATATTTCGGTTTTTCCGATATGACGAAGATTGAACCACTGTATATAGTTGCTGTGTAAACAAACATGCAATTTGTTTATTATTTACTATATGGGTCACGACAAATATTACAATGTCACCGATAACGACCCTGATTCATCACTGAAATTATTTAGAAATAAACAAACGTGAGCTGTTTTTTCGGTAACAGTATAAACCATTACATAATTCCTATTTTTGTAGAAAAAAAGTATTTCAAATGAAACCAGAAACCCTTGTTTATGCGACCTTCTGCCTACACTAGAGAAATGCACATGGACTCATTCAATGCAAATTCTGACTACACAATTTAAAACAACAATGCCTCGTCAAGATAGTTCCTGAATAATTACCATTCAGAATTGTTAAAAATAAAGGTCTCACGTTGGGACAACAACAACAACATTCTTATGATTGACAAGCTCACTGAAAATCATGAAAAAATATGTGTGATGAAAAAAAAACGCGTATGATGTTTCGGGGTCCATTAGAAAATCTCACACCGTTTGCTGTTTGGTCTATTCCTCAAAATCAATAGCGTGTAATTTCCAATTTCAGGGTCTTTGTCCCACTATGTCGGCAAATTCAATTCGAACGACAACTTGGGCATGTTCTATGTTGTGGACCAAAACAACATCGAAATCCAGTACGAAGAAGGGGAAATCCTAGTGGAAACAGAACCAGTCCGATACGAACTGAAATCCATCAGGTGAGAGATAAATTAAACACAAACTTCAATATCTACTATAAATGGTGTTTCAATGGTGAGGCATGCAAAACAATAGCCAGTGCTGTAACTTCTGAATCATTCGAGATAGGATTCTGAGATTATGGGTAGGCAAGTACCTATACTAAATGCATTCATTGATAACATGATAATTTTTGTTTCATTCAGGTTCAATCGGAAGCAACCCAATTTTTTCATTTATAAATGGGACACTCTGTATATTTTTTTATATTCGAATTCAGGGAATTGTTTTACACACACCAGACACTTTTTTTGATCAAAATATCGAAATACACCGGGTAGCCCAGAGCTTTTAGGCCCTCAGATATCTGGGTCATTGAAAAAAACTCAAAAAATTGATGAATATATGGGAGCGAAATTCCTCCAAGGAAATGAAATCGAATCACCCCCATGACAAACAATCTACTAGTAGAAACCACCCCTAATTTCGGTTTTTTTAGATTGCACTCCTGTTTTTCTCGGCTTAGCTTATAAAACTTTTCATTCGCAATACATATAACCGACAAGATATTTCTTTAGCAAGAAAATCCTTCTCTGAAATTTCAAATAATTTCAATAGTTTTCTTGAAAAAATATCGATTTTTCCTTGAATGATTGTTGAAATGACTGTTTTCACTTGCTACGCTCACCCCATGTCGCCTATTCAGACTTCAGACGCTATACAGATCGTGATGTATATTCGAATTGATACATAAATTCCACATTTTTTTATTTATTTATTTTTTACGTTAGATAATCGCCTAAACGCTCTGGGACCCCTGTATAGGGTGTCCAATTTAAAAACTGGAAATTGGGGATGCCTCTCGTTGAACTGGAAGTGATAAAATGAATATGTTCTGTCGATAAACGGTAACGCACTGTGGAAAAGATGAGTGGTTAAACCATATTAAACTTGGCGTCATTGTGTTTTGGATTGAAATGTGATCTCTTCTCAACACTATGGTTTTTTATTCATAGGTTTATATAGGTTCTGATTATTGTTAATAAAAACTGGAAAATCCCATATTTTCTTAAAACACTCGTATCTTCTCTTAAAAATAAGATATTGACGTGAATCAAAAACTATTGTGTTAAGAAGGGATCACACTTCAATCCAACGCATAATGCCGACAAGTTCAACCACTCAATTTCGTCAGTGTGTGAAATAGCAACTTGGTTTTTCCCTAGATAATGATCCAGTCATCAGGTTTTTACGGAAACTAATATTTAGGCTAACATTCCGGAACATGAATCTACGATTTAATCGAAATTTCACAAAAATCAGACAAGGATTAAAAAAGTCGAATGGCACTAATAACAAATATTTTGGTATCAAAATAAAATTTGAGGTTAGACCCCTTTTTCCACCCAAAGTTCTACACTGTAGCAAATCTGACGTCACCTCTGTTGACATTTCCATGCGGCAGGCACAATCACGCAGAGTTCAATCATTTAAATTGTTTTGAAGTGGCGAATTTGTTTTTTTTCTCGTATTTTGTTCAATTTTTGGGATGAAATTTCTCGTTAATTAGAAGAATGAGAAAAAATCTGATATTCCTTAGACTGTATCATATTAATGTGCTGAATATGTGCACTTATTTCAAAAACACCTTGTATATGCTATTGTTATTAATAGTCTTCACCCTGTAAACGAATATTATATCAATTTTCTTCCTTACATTCTCATTATTCACTACAAGTTTCTTCAACTCTTCATGCAAATAGTAAGTTACGCAATCAATAACTATGGAACCAGTCATGATACGAAATTGAATTTTTCTACAAGCGTGCGTGATTCACCCTATACCCGCACGCAATTTAGTTCGGGAAGTATCATTTTCCCGCAACATTGCGGGAAAATCTTTCCCACACTAGCGTCTGAAACATAGAAACCAAACACCTTATGGGCTTGCTGGCTGCCACAATGAACATCAGTAGATAGAGAATATATTTATTTCTCCTGTTAGTTGTTCCTATATGAATGAATAATTAATTGAACAAATCAAACAATTTCCTACGCTTGTAGAAAAAATATTGTTCCTAACTCATGCGGAAAGTGTCTTTCCCGCACGCGACTGCCGTTGACACGCACTTGTTAGGAAAGAGACAGTGTTGAGGAGGGAATGATAAATAAATAATAAAATAATTGAAGAATTTCACCGAGTTATTCATGAATAACAGGGTAATTTTGCACCTTCAGTCAGTTCATCATACTAAAAATTCAGAAAATTTCATCGAGAACCATTTTACCTACAAAAAGTACAAGGACCTTTCCGAATCTTTTAATTTTTTTTTCTTGTTAGATACGAGCACACTCGCAAACGCCAACCGAAAAAATCCAAAATCCTCGGACACGCCACGCTGAAGAACGAAGAGGGCTCGCTGCAAAGGGTGGACAGCGTCATCAGCTTCGCGTACGACTACTCCTTGTTCTGGGGCAAAGGGCACGGTCTATCTACCGGCCTGCCATTGAAAGTTTACCTGGCCAACGGCACGCAAATCGAGGGCTCCTGGGCCATTCCCATCGTCAGGCAACAAGTGGAAGTGGCTCCCATTGAAAGGTGAGGAATTGCATTTGGTCGGTAGACATTTTCATTTACCATCGCCCTGGCTAGATTGAGAAGATCAACTGAAAATCTTTCGAAAACTTCGAACATTATAAGGATTCCCTTTCGTGCGTTCCAAGCAATAAAAAAACTCCAGTTTGAACTTTTCATGCCCTATTCATTCAAACTTGACGATGCAATAATGTCGTGAGATCGTTTAGTGAGTAACAGACTTGAACTACGTTGAATTTCAGATGAAAAAAAAAAACAGAAATTCAATTCAATGACTTCCAATTTTTTGAATTGACTCGCCGATAGTTGATGGAAATCCATAGTAAATGTAAAATACTTCAGATGAAATACTAGTACAGTAAACTAAACTTACATTGGATTGCCTAACTTTTATATGGTACTACCTGAGGGATTAGAATTACCTGTTGAAAGGTTCGATAAACCTTCATTTTCGGAAAAAAGGCACAATATCTACATCAAAATATGATGACCTACTAAGAAATCAAATTTAACAGCCGTGAATTTTTCGAGATCTAGTGGATGGTTAAGTTGAATGTTAAAATTTTTGCGTTCATTGATTTCTAATGATTCCAAATGATGAGTATTATTTCTTCATTTTCTACGTGTAGAATTTCGAGATCATCAAAACTATATTATTTTCTATTTTAAAAAATAACTTTCCATCTTCCGACGAATTTCAACTATTTTCAGAGATTGTATGTCTTCCTGATTAAGCCAACTCCACATTTATGACTGACTATTCGCCAATCTACTAAATGTTTTCAATTCTTGAGATTCTTGGATTTCTTTATGTTTCCAAACAAAAAAACTTCCAACGACTCCCAATGGATTCCTGAGGCATCCAATGACTGCCTATGTCTTCGAAAAACTTGTCTAGTTCCTAGTTTACTTCCCAAGATTTCCAATGACGTCCGAAGACTTGCAGATTCATAATAATTACTAACTGAGACCTACAATGATTACCAATGAATTCCTAAATTTTCTAATTACATACTTCCAAAACAGTTGAAAGATTTCTAATAATTTCCAACGAATTCCTAAGACCTGCAAATATTTTGGATGAAAAACTCAGGCATCTCTTCACATCGAGAATGGATTATTATAACTTCCAAAAGACTTCCTATTTCCATTAATTTCCTTTGACTTCCACCGACTTTCCAAAATTTATACAGTTTTTCAATGAGTTCCTTCTCAAAACTACCAATGACTTTCAACGAACCTATAAGATTTCCAATGATTTCAAAAACAGTTCAGATTTTTATCAACCTCCAACGACTTCCAACGGATTTCTAAAACCCGCAAAGATTTAGGATAAAAATCAGTCATCTCCACAGTTTAAAGACTTTTGACGATAATTTGAGTTTTTATTCCTAATAAACCAATGTCTCCACAAGACTGGACTATTTTGAAGATTTTCTTTGACTTCCTAAGACATTCAACCGATTCCTAAGATTTTCTATGCATTTAAAAGAAGCCTTTTCAAAACTACCAATGACTTTCAACACACTCCTAAGACTTTCGATGACTCCAAAAGCAGTTCAAAGGTTACTTTCTATCAAATTCCTAAAACCCCCAAGATTTAGGGAAAAAAATCAGAGTAATCTTCACAGTCTCAAGCCTTGTGGCGATGATTTCGAATTTTTCCTTTCCAAAAATCAACTTCACATCAAGACTGGACTTATTTTAAAGGTTTCTAATCAATTCCTGACTGTCCAAAACTTTTTGCAATATTTTCCTCAAGAAATTCAAGACAACCAACGAGTTCCTAAGACTTCTTATGACTCTCAAAGAAGCCTTCCCGAGACTCCTAATGACTTCAAATAAATACCTAACACTTCCAATGATTTCCTACAATTTTCGAGCTCGCTGCAGACTCAACCCTGCGCTGTTGCCACATCATCTGAGATGGTAGGGGTTCACCAATTTTTTTTCGAACAAACATTATAATCAAATTTTTTTTTGCAGATACCTGGAGTCAGGCACTGCCGTAAACGTCACCCTTATGGGCAACTACACGGAATCGGAGATCGCCTACGTCGCCACCATAGTGTGCGTGTACGCGGACAACGAACGCAGAGAAATCACCATACGAGATACGAAGAGGGAAAACAAAATGGTGGACGTCGTGGCTGTCTACGATCCCGTTTATTTCGTCCACAACAACAGTCACGTGCCGACGACCACTACCACCACGACTACTACGACTACCACTACGACCACCACCACGAAAAGCACTTCGACCACCCAAGAAGTGGTGCCGATAGGTAAATTTAGGATAAGTCACAAAATAGCTATATACCGGGTGTTTGAACGAAATGAGTTGGGGTTTGCTCAATAAAAAAATGTCGTAACAGCATCTGTTTTCAAGATATTAGGTGTTGAAAACTAGTTATTTTATTATACAAGGGGAAAAAGTATTAGAGAGACAAAAAACCGTGAGCTAAAATCTAATATTTTCCCGTGTATAATACACTATTTTTTTCTGTAAGAAGAAAGGACGAATCAATATCGAGAAGATATTACATTATTTTGAAATCTGAAAATTATCAACGTGAAATTTAAAGTTTTTAGCAGTAGGGACACCTGCGTTGTAGGCATCTTTATCATTCTTTCGAAGTAATCAGATATCTGATGTCATTTCTGTCAGTCTAATTCTGTGATTTGATTTCAAAAAATTGCGAATTTAGTGGTTCTTTAGTAATATACGTAACCGCAAAGTCGAATGGAAGATAAAAGGACCTGCAGTTCTTTCTCGGAGACGGTATTATTGACTCATTTTTCGGAACTATAGCACAACAAAAGCCATCAACAGTGTGAATATATGTGATATATATCCGGGAAAAAAGTACCCACTTTTTTCCCACGGGAAAAAATTAATTTATGAAAAGTGACATTTTATAACCTGTCAACAGAGATGAAATGCCAAACTTTTTTCCCGTCACAGAAAAAAAGATATTTTACACATTTTTTACGATTACATCGAATGCATTTATCTTTTTCCCATAGAGGGCGCTATTTACACGGTTAAACCGAGTAGTTTTACATAACTTTTTAGATGATAGATTTTTCAATCCAAATTCAATGTGAACTTGAACATCATTCAATTTTACATCAAAATTCCGTTTTCGGAATATTTTGATTTGAAAATGATGAAGTAATAATTGTTGCTAGTATAAAGTTATGTATTAGAGTATTATGGAAAACTATTACCGAAAACAAACATATATTTCCAATGCTGAACTTATTAGTTTACCAATGAATCACAAGAATACAGAATAACACAGTTTGGTTGTATCTTAAGGCAATAGCCCATGCTACAGAGTTAAATTCACGTCAAGAGTTGCAAAAAATTGATTGAACATCACTAAAATGACCTACAAGCTGATATGTATAGATTCGTAATCTTCGAAATTCGCAATTTTTTAATTTTTGCAGAAAAAGTTATCACTTATCATCATTAAATTTGTTGATACAGTCATGCTAACACTAAATTAATTTACAAGCATTTCTGATCACTCAATTCCCCATTAATAATTATAATTATTGATAGTGTCCCCGGAGACAGTTGACAAGGGAATAGCAGATTCATTTTCGATAGAGAACAGGAACGTCCTCTCTGACGGGCAAACCTCGAAGCGGGACAACTCGTCTCTGAAGAAGGAGGAAGCCGAAACTGGGGAGAGCAAGAGCCGATCTAGCCGAAGCGGAGCGCTAGGACTTGTCACCATAATGACGATAATCGTCTTATTGAGAGTCACGTAAATGACGTAAGAACCGCTAGTGATTGAAGCGAGGGTATGTGGTGTTTCTTTTGGAACCCAAAAAACAGACCATTTCTGATATGAAGATTTTGATTTTATCTCGAGAGTCGATTTCACATTTACGTCTGATTGTATTTACTTTCTGTATTTTCTGTATTTACTATCATTATTCATTCATTGGCCATATTCAACTTGATATGAAATGCAACAAAACCAATCAATACACAATCTTTCAAAGAAAAGGTCATTAAATTAAGAATGTATTATCTAGCAGGTAATAATGAAAGATAAGGAATTAGAAATTCAAAATTCTCACACCTTTTCAACGTTTTCTGAGGTTACTGACCTCCCTAATGGGATATCAAATTGTGGAAAAATTTAAATTGAGATATAATCTGAGATATGGTCAAGTTTATTGGGTCCCAGGCAAACACTTTCAATGGCAGCTTTTATCAAATCTAATCAACCGTCTCATTACAGTGTAGACCAGCTGTTGTTTTGCTATTTTTTCTTTGTGGATTATTTTTTCAAAGAGTTGTATATAAACTTTGTAAATAAGTGAGGGATTGGTGGAGTGATGTATGACATCGTCCAATTGAGGAGGCCTTTTTATTTATTCCAGTGTCTGGCGTGGAAACATGATGTACATTGTTGTTCATGAAAATGAAAGTTACCTAATTTACTTTCAAAATTTGCAACTTGTCCATTTGTTCATTCAGATATATGCTCACAAAACTATGTGTTCATATTTTATGGACAACAGTGGACATTCACCACTAGAAAAAAAGCTTTGATGATGCATTGAACTAAAAAATATCATGATGTTACAGGTACAATGTTTTTTTTTTCATGAATACCTTCAGTGCTCTCTACTGTGACTTGTACTAGATACGTAAATTGTATTCCATTTATGTCATGTACCTATGATGATTAATTTGTTTTTTTGTAAAAATTCATTTTCACAAAATTGAAATCAAAGTGAATTGTATTGTATAAACATATCCATTTCATTATTTGCAACTTGAACATGTTTATTAGCCAGTTAGAAGCAATCAAAAACACATAATTCTAAAACAAGTTGTCTGAAAAAATTAGACATCTATAAATAATAATGAGTTTTTTCATACATACTGTGAAACGGGCAGAACTGAAATCAGTCCAAAGCAAGATGAAAATATATTTTGCAAGAAAAGTGGTAGATTTGTAATGTGTGGTATATATTTTTGCTATACATGATGCTGTTACTTTTTTTCAGTATTTAGTAGAATGTAAACTGTTTGGCACAAGCCTCAAGTTTGAAAAAGTGTAATGTCTGATTGATGTTTAAATGTATCAAAATGTTTGAATTTCTTCTTTACTAAGTACAAAATTGTGCACAACATTTCCTATACATTTTACACATACAAAAATTGAAGCAACAAGAAAAATATTCAATGAGCTTGAATAATAATATATAGATTGTGTAAATTGTATGAGAAGAACTATTGTACATCCTAAGTCTAGTAAACATTTTTTTAAACTTGTATATATATGTTCAAATATTGATTCAGTTCAAATGAAACTTTCTATTCCTGTCCTTGAAAAGTAAAACTATACCATATCTTTTCTTCATAACCCATAATAAAAAGTTCAAAAAATTTGAATGCTAACTGCATAAAATTTCATATGTGTTCAAAACTCCTCATAGAGTTGTTTTGCTTGATAGGGAAAATATAATGAAAAATTATGCTATTCTGCTATTATTCATTGTGATTCAATATTGGACTGAAAAACATTTGTGTAAAGATTATTATATGTTTTCATTATTATTGTACATTCCTGTATTATGTAGATATTCATTATGAAATATACTCAATATACATCAAGTAGTTGACATTTTTTCCATTTTGATGATCATTGCCTTCAATAATTTCAACTTAGAGAATTGATGTTCATTCTGTCAAAAATAACCTCCTTTATATGGCTGCACTTGCAGTACTAGAAGGGCCAAGTCAAAATCACAGCAGTATTCTCATAATAAATGAAATCTATTAGGTATAATGCACTCACCCATAACTCCTAGTTGTTGTGGAGTCAAATTGGATGTGTTGAGGCCCTCTGGTATGGGCAATCCACTGCTTACCAGGCTCCCAGATGCTATTGACCCCTTCCCACTGGCAATGGACCCTTGTTTATTGAATTTATCACTGTATGCAGCACTCCTTCTTCCACTACTGGCAATACTACCCACTTCTAAAATATGAATATAGATTAATATACTAATTGGATTATTTGTCTTCAATATTACCCCCATTTGGACTACGGATACCAGATGTCCTGGACCTTTTACCACTGACAGTACTAAAAACTGCTCTTCGATATTGTGAAGTGTCTTTGAGCTTTGAAGGGTCTATAACTCTTTTTTTTCGTCGTAGGTAATTGGATAAAACTCCAAAAACCACTACTGAAGTTGAAACAGATACAATTACTAACTACAAAAAAAGAAAATTCAGTTATGAGAGGGTATGAGATGATTTATATTTACCTTTTGACTAGTTGACAATAACGGCCTTTCAGGTATCAGTTGTCGTAAAAAGCTTAGGTGTTCTTTAAAATATCCTAAATTTATGGATAAAATCATTGCTAGAGTATAATAATAATTGATAAATAAACTTTGTAGGTAATCTGTAGGTTAGAATTTCGAAATCACTAAAGATACACTTGAAATTATAGGCCCCCTACAGAAGAATCACAACCAAACAACATTGCTGCTATAAATTCTAAATCATCACGATTATTTCATTTTAGAAAATTGTTTCATTAAAAATTCTCAATTCAAAAAATTAAAACTCTTTAGTCCTTAACCCGATAATTTCTTCTTCCTGTTTTTAGTATAAGACGATACCACGACTCACCCACAACCATACTATGACATCAAATCTATGGGCGATTATATCTAGAGGAACATAATACAAACGATCACTCTGAAAAAAGAAGATATTGATAAACGTCGAACTAGCCTAAAATAATTCGTCATATCTCTAAAATGCCAAAAATGTTTATTTACCCAACAATTCCGTCAAAAGCTTTCATTGCAATAATAGTATACAATTAAATATTGTAATTTATCTGTCTCTGAATTCATTTCCATTTATCACCATGTTACTACTTTCAATCACCTTACTTTTGAGTGAATTTATTTTCACACATACATGGAACGCCCCCAAGACCATTCTAGATGATCCAAACTGTAATGAGGCTCGCGATTTATGTCACGATTTGATTGATAACGATGATCTGCTCATCCTCGAATGTTTATTATCTTCAAACCCTGATCGACTGAACAGTATTGACAAAAAATGCCAAAACACTATATGGGACCACACAACAAATCTCCTCAAAGACGATAATGTTAAGAAGTATTTGTCATCGATTTGCGGCAAAGAATTGGATCGCTTTGACACCTTTGATTGCAAACAAGAAGGAAACTATTTCAAATGCATTCTGAACTACATAAATGATATTCAGAACCCTAAATGTAGCCTTGCACTGTCTAGGCTGGAAAGTGTTGCCTTTACAGACCACCGGTGGATAAAAGACTTCTTGGCCCAATGCACAGATGATATAGACAAGCTGAAATGTGGTATTATTGATGCTCACAATTTTTCTCAAATGAAAACCATAGCTTGCCTCCAGACCAATATCCTGAGTGTCAAAGACTCATGTAAAAAAGAAGTTTTCCACCTTTCAGAGCTACAATCTACAAACATAAAGCTGGACTCCCAATTGTATTTAGATTGTTCAGATGACCATCGGCGCTACTGCTCCAATTTTGCTGCTGGAAGTGGCAGGGTTTTTCCTTGTCTCCTCAGGCAGCTCAATGAGGACCACTTGAGGATAAGCACAAAGTGTAGGCAGCACTTGCAGCGCAGAGAACGGCTCATAGCTCAGGATTTTAAAGTTAGCAAAGGCCTGCTGAGGGCCTGCAAGGAAGACATAAAGAACACACATTGCCGCAAGCAAACTTCCAGTGACAAAACTGTCAGGCTGGCTCAGATTCTGCTGTGTTTGGAGGATTACATGAGGAATGGAACTAAAATCAACTCAGAGTGTGAGTCTGAGATCACTGAGCATAGAAGAATGTTGATGGAGGATTACAGATTGTCTCCTGAGATTGTGAATAACTGTAAGAATGAAACTGCCTTATTGTGTGATGGATTCGGTGGTAAGACTATTCATTGTCTGATGAACCGGGCTATAAAAAACAGAGATAGGAAGCCATCTAGTAGTGTACAAGGTGGACTAGGGGATAGATGTCTAAGAGCAGTAAGTTTTTTCATCTTTCCCTGTTGATGTTATTACACACAATTCAATATGAAGCACTCAGTTGAGAGAGGTCCAGAACTAAGTTTTTCATCTTTCCCTCCAGGTTATTTTCATTTTCAAATATAAAAAACAATTATTATATACCTACTCACCTTCTATGTTTATAGGGGGTAGGGGGTTACACTTTGATTTTCATTGAGTACAATTTATTTTCACCCACCCACTAAACAGACCATATTTATGGAACACACAATTTATCATTAGTTTCCCTCCAAAACTAGAAGAGTAGACTTCCACAATCTGCTGCTGTGCTTGCACACTCCACAGCATACAACCGTCAGTGAATTCGGTGGATCCCACAAGATCCTGGCGCGAAATTCAAATTGTATTGGGATTAATATTGGTACAGAATACACTACATCTAGTCATACATTCTTAGGACAAACTACTTAAGAGGGAGCATGTTTTCATGAAATGTAATCCACTGAATACTGATTGTTTCTAAATAGATATTTACATGATTGGTTTATAACATTGTCTGCTGAATATGGAGAAAAAATCTAGTGAGCTGTAGCATCTGGTCTGCTCAAACAAGGAAAATCACCTACAGGTTTCTGTGGCCGATACAGTAGTGCCGCCTTACGGTCAACTCGAAGAAACACTTATTCCAATTGTTTTCCTGTCAAACCTACATGACCTTGGAGAATCGTGAACGAGTTGAGCAGCTCCCTCAGCGGTGCTCTCGGCAGTCGGCGCAGTTTGTTCAGTGTCAGTGAGTTTGAGTTCAGTATCATGACATACTCTCTCAGCAACTCAAAAATTCAAAAAATCATTCCTTCTCAAAATGGTTGACCCTAGACACAGACACTACAATAGTCCCCAATTTCATAACATTCAACACCTAAATTAAATGATAAGTAGAATCAGTAGTATCGATTATTAGATTATGATCGGAGGGATCTGATTTTCTTACTTGTAATGAGCCTTTAACACTCATTGAATGTATCCACTTATGTCGTAAAGAAATATCACTTGGAAATCCATGAATGGAGACGGTTTCACACTTTCTGGTAGGCACAGAGAGACAGAGTTTATAACAAATTATCAATCAGAATAAACTACTTTAATACTAGGAGCGCAACACAACATCATATCTATAAACGAAAGGAATATCAGAACAATGAGAATTGAAGAAGATAATTAATTAGGAATAAATACAATACAAGTCACGATGGCAAGACAGCTCTTGACACTTGCTTGACACTGACAACTTACATAACCACAAATTTCGAAAATGTTCTAGAAGAAAGTGAAGAACATTTCGTCAGATACGGTAACATCCTCTGGTGGTCATACACTCAAATGGGCTATAGACCAGACCAGTAGTTACAGCTCACTAGATTTTTTTTCTCCATATTTAGCAGACAATGGTTCATAATATCTATAATAAATTTTTCATCTACAATATTTCTTTATCACTATGAATAAACTATTCAATTACCAATATGCAGCTTGAGGACCTAGTAAAAGAAACGGACGCAGGGGAAAATTGGAACATAGACCCTGTGTTACAGCAGGCCTGCGACCCAGTGGTAAAAGTCAGCTGTCGCCATATAAAAGGCGGCGATGCTCGCATCATGTCTTGTCTCATGGATAACCTCAGGTTCGTTTATGATCCATAGATACTTTGGATAATCTTTTTTTGTTGTTTATGGTTATGACTTCTCATTCAAGGTCCGATACGATGACTGAAGATTGCGAAAACGCTCTGCTGGAAATCCAGTACTTTGTGGCGAGGGATTTCAAGTTGGATCCACAATTATACAGGGCGTGCAGACAGGACGGCATAAGGTACTGTCATATGGGCGATAGCAAGGAGAACGAACAGGGGCCTAGTTATTCAAGAGAAATCCTACCATGTCTTTATAGGTTAGTTGAAAATGAAATATCCTCCTTGCAACCACGTTGCAACAGCTAACAGAAATGTGTTCCAAACCTGCTAGGTGCCGCAAAACAGAAAAAATTCACATTCCTTCAACATACAGGACGAAATAGAAAATTGCCATTTTTTGCGCATATCCTGGTTACTACTTCTGAACCTATTTATACAATGAGAACGGTTTTTTTCTGTGACGGGAAAAAAATTTGGCATTTCATCTCTGTTGGCAGGTTATAAAATGCCACTTTTCATAAATTACTGTTTTCCCGTGGGAAAAAAGTGAGTACTTAACTAACTATTTTTCTTCTGTTCTATAGACATGCCTATCAGTCCGACGAATCCCTCCAAATCCAAAAGCAGTGCCTGGAACAAATCCAACGAGTGATGCGCCAAAGGGCGATCAGCGTGGATCTGCAACCGGAAATCGCAGAGTACTGTCTCAAAGATCTCGGCTTCTATTGCCGCGACAAGGTCAACAAGGGCGAGGAGATGCAATGTCTGCAAGACAACTTGGAAGAGTTGGAAGACAAGTGCCACGACGTCGTGGCCTCCTACACGGAAATCGAGGCTCAACGGGTCGATTTGAATCCGTTCATATCCAAGTATTGCAACATGATCATCGAGAGTTTATGTGGCAACGATGCGGATGTCATGGAGTGTTTGATCGAAAACAAAAACCACGCACAAGTACGTATCATTACTTAGTACTTAATTGATTTGTTTTGTAATACAACTAATACATACATTTCAATGATCCCCACATGAAACTTCACTATTGAGTCAATAAAAAAGTCAATAATTATTTTCGAATAATGATTGATTGCAACATTACCCTTTTTCCTGAATGAATATTTATATTCAATCACGTTTACTCTTAAATAAAAGCAAAAAACGAGAAAATATTTCAAATAATGCGAGCGAGATAGAAACCACTGCGAGTTGCCTGAACAATCTTTTTGCCTCACTCGTCATCCACAGAGGATCCCTTCCAGGTGTTTACATTGAGTTCATTGTTGAATGTTCGATTAACCTTGAAATTGAGGAATAAACTATCATTCTATTTCTAACCTACAGGTCAAGGCGAGACCTGCCTGTAGAGCGAGCATCGAGCACTTCCAGCTCATCTCGCTCAAAGACTACAAGTTCAACAACAAATTCAAGATGGCGTGCAAGTCGCACGCGATGCGCCTGTGCAACAGGGCGCAGTCGAAAAGCGAGGTTATATCGTGCCTGAGCGAGCACATCCTCAATGCGACGGTGCACGGCATCAAGCCTACTATTCCTAAAGATTGCAAGCAGCAGCTGAAGGCGCAAATCTTCCAGCAGCGCGAGAAGATCGAGTTCGATCCGGTGCTGAAGGCCGCTTGCGGCATGGATATCAAGAAGTTTTGCAGAAATGTGCAGCCCGGTAACGCTCAAGTAAGAAATAATGATTTTTCAATAGTATTAGTGCTCACCAAGGCATCTTATACTCGTAACAATTTCCCGGAAATCCTAATCTAAGATGCCTGACCGAGAAATATCACATATAGAAGGCAAAAAGATACTTTTTTACGCCGGCGAGAGTAGAAGTTAGTTTCTGGTAACGAAAGAGGGGCAGAAGTCTCGTATTATTCCCTAGGGAGATAATGTGACATATTTTCTCCCTAGGGAGTTTATACCTGTGCTTTCTTTTCGGTACACCCTTCTCTGAAGCGAGTATAAGCTGCATCATACATATTTCTAGATCTCACTGGTAGCAATTTGAGAATCACTGTAGAAGCAGTATCAATAGTTTCTTGAGGTTTTCCCTCGATTTCTTGTTTCATAACCGTTAACCATTTTCAAAGCTGTTTTCATAAATTGCTGTCACCATGTTGTCAAGATACGAATTCCACAAACTATAATACTACTAATTATTGACACTTTGACAACATTTTTATTCTTTCTTAATTTTTGTGTTTTCGCCAGCGTAAAAAATAGTATATACACCCCAGGACAGAGTGCTATTTTTCCCTCAGTGCTTTTCTGTCCCTTGATGTATAATGTACTATTATTTACTCAATGCATCGTAGGCGTAGGCGTTTGTTCCCTCATTCAAGGACACAAACCTGTTAATTTACTCCCAAAAGAGGGAAAAAATAATACTTCCCGTGGTTTCAGCTTGCTTCCTTGGTAGACTGGTAGAGATACACCTAAAAGATCTGTGCTTTCCAAGTACCTAATCAGTTTCAAACTGAATTAACTTCCAAATGCTATCACATAATAAACAATTTCAATATGCCAGAAGTGCCAAATTGACTTTTGTTCAGTTTTGATTGTCAATTGTTTATGGCATACTACACCTTTGTAACACATTGATTTCGATCGGGACTCAAAATAGATCGCCTAAAGCATAATTCTACATGATTCTACAAACAACGCTTTCAAATATATGCGTTAGTGGATAAAATCATGTATATATCTTGGCGTCTACGCTCCTTTGATATATAAATAGCTATTAACACCAGTCTCTTCATTCATTATCATTTCCCTTCTATGATTAGACCAGTGTTCCATCATATAATTTTTTTCTTCCTGAGCTCAATTCAAAGCCCCACTATCTTGTCATGTCTTTGTACTTTTGTACAAAAGCATTTCTGCCTTAGTTGTGAACTCTTTGATTGTCCTGAAATGAAAACTATTTAGGATATGTAAGTGTTCATTAGAAACAGCTTCCACTGCTTCCAAATGTTCTTGTGTTTCCGAATTCTGAGATATTTCCCATATTTTCCACATAATCTCCTAACCAGAAGGGGAGTTTTGAGAGAGCACTGTCTTGAGTTAACAATACTACATGTATCGTGTTTTACTATCTTTGGCATGAAAACATCAATAACGAGCTCATAATAACAAAGCCCGAAGACTGGCAAATTAGAAACAGAATCTTGGAATATGTAGTATCTACTGGACACGAGTTGCCAGGTTGCCACGCAGCCGTGGTCGATTGAGTATCCCGTGTTTGTTTACAAAACCTTCATCGGAACGGGCCTATTCTGCGATTCAAACAAAGACGATTCCACAATCATTTTAACGTTGGCCGCCACGGTTGAGTTTAAAATTATTGCGAAATCGTCTCTGTGTTGGAATCACAGAATGGCACGTTTCAATGAAGGTGTTGGGTGTTGTCAACAAACACGCGATGCTCAATCGACCACGCCTGTATAGCAACTAAAATGGCAACTAGTGTCCAGTAGATACTATCTATTCCAAGAACATAAGGTTCATATCCACCATACTTGGCGCCACTTTCAAATCTTCCATACCTCCCTGACGAACCCTGTATTTACTTAGCTCCAAAAAATTTCTGTTAAAGATTTTGGAATGTCTTCAAACGGTCCCGAATGATCAACTGAGCAACAAGTGTGGCAAAGAAATTTTCAAAGTTCAAAAGATGGAAATATACGACAACAGCGTAGACTATGCCCTGATAACAATGTGCGCAGATACCATAGATCAGTTTTGTCCGCACAACGAAAAGGAAGAAGTGTTCAAGTGCTTGAAGGTATAGTATAGAGAATTCATTTTACGAAATACTATATTATGTTGTTTTTGCAGCTGAATAAAGACGAGAAAGGTTTCAGTAAAAAATGTCGTACTATAGTTACTCACCGACTAATCGAACAAAATTCCAACAACCTCCTGAATCCGGCATTGCAAGAAAAGTGTCAGTTAGACATTACCAAGTTTTGCAAGAAGGAACTGCTCACCATCGAAGAAAAACAAGTCGACGATGCTGTCATCAAATGTCTCAAGAACCAGTTCAAGGTCTGATTTTCAATCAATCCTAATTATACTCATTTTCCTGAACAATAATATTATTCATCTTGAATTCCTTCAAGACGACTTAATGGGCCTTTCCAGTATAAAATTCCAGTAAAATTTGACCCTTCTTCGATATAATGTCATGAAGGGAAGTCAAAATCCACATATTCATCAAGATAATCGAACAACTAAATGAATTATTCAATATTGTAAATGCTATTACAATACCTTTGAATTCTAACACTACTGAGCTGTGATGTTAGTGTCTCCTTGCAATTTGATTGGTTGGAGTTTGTGACGGCTGGGGAAAGCACGCCGCTGCTGCCACTAACAGCATCTGTATTATTTGATGAAATGAAAAAAAAAAAATCGAGAAACGAATATCCGATTAGTAATAGCTTTCTGTTCAACTTGAAATCATTGTCACGTCATAGATGTATAGAAAGTCAAATGGTGTTATCACTTCCTATCGAAAGGAGTTTCGATATCTCTCCATATCGCCTACTTTGTAAAAGTAGGCGTGGGAGAATCTTGCTATATTTCCGAAGTGTCAAACCAAATTTACAGGCATCATGACACGTTCATTTGAGTTCACATTTTCATTTTCACATTGTTTTGTGTAAATGGAAATGGTGCATAATATTTTCGACTTTCAGTGGTGAATTCATCAACGACACGAAGTCCTAACTCGAGAAAGTTCTCTGAGAATTATTTTCTTATTTACTCACTTTTGGTACATAAAATAAAACGAATATTCGTCCATGATGAAAGCACAAAGCACAATACACTCACTACCTGATATACTATATCAATACCTGCTCAATAACCTACAGTAATTTTGCACTTATCATGCGATGGGTTTTTTTTCAAAAATTTTTTTTGGTACTTACGTATTTTTGTCTGAAAAACACGAATTTGATATTGAAAATGTGAACAAACCACTATTTATCGAGATATTTCAAGAAAAAGTTCGAAATTTTGCCTTATTTTCCCCCTTGTGTTGGATGCATTTACAGGTACTTGCTCTTTTTATTTTGTCATTGGACACTTCATGTACTCATGATGTACTTCAATGACACATTTTAAGCTAGAAAATTCAACAGGAAATATGATTTTTATGGTGAGTTTTTCCTATTTAGTGAGCAAGCATGCCAGATGACCGCCATTTAATCAATGGGTAATCCAAATAGGAGATGTCAAATTAATGTCAATAGATTGCTTTGGAATGACATCACACACGCCATTATTTCAAATGATATTCTTCCTTCTTTTCACTAAACATGGATAAATCACAAGAAAATCATATTTCTAGTTGACTCATATAATAAAAAATATGTGTCCAACATTGTGTGATATATATAAATTGTCCAATGATGGAAAAAGAAGGGCAAATTGTTCTAAATGCGCCCCAAAGACAGGCGGAAAAGAAGGTGAAATTTGTAACTTTATAGTGAAATATCTCAATAAATAATGGTTTGTTCACATTTTCATTATCAAATTCGTGTTTTTCAGACAAAAATACATAAGTACCAAAAAAAATTTTCGAAAAAAAACCCATCGCATGATAAGTGCAAAATTACCTAACCTACTAATGTCCTTATAAATTATCATTTATAAGAATTTAAAATATTTCCATTTGAAATATGAACAAAATCATGAATATGCCGAAAACGTGACATTCGTGACAGATATATGTCGAATTACGATCAACGGATCAAGAATCAAGATCACGATCAAGTAGTTTCCGCACGGACTATTATTTGTTGCGCCCTGTCTCTTTTGTGTCCTGTCTCTAGATGCTTCAATTCAGCTATAACTGAATTCGTGCATCATCAACGGGACTCTTCCCTCCCCCGAAAGAAGGAAAACACATCCTTGACAGTCTAGTTCAACTTCATAATAAAATTCGAAACCCTTGCCATTTATCATCGGATATTAAACTCCCACGTTCCGAACTCGCATTCATTTATTCATATCGAGAGTTAGTCTGAGAGTGGGCACACTAGCGGAATTATAAAAATCTCAGTCAAGTTCATTGTGTATTTTATTGGCACCCGCGAGAAAGTGAGACTGAGGGCATTACCAATCCAAATTGCTCGCCCAGTGACGTCACACGTTTCGTGAATTCTCCGTTGATTTTGGCATTTTGAATAATTTTTTATGTGAGGAGTTGATGGTAAAAAATTTCAAAAAATTATTTTAAGGTATTCCAGAGCCACATAGTTTTCGATATATTTTCCAAAAATGACAGGAGAGGCTCATCGCACTTGTGTAATTGCAAATTCTCGCAAACCTAACCTGACAAAAATATCCGATATCATTCCAGATGTCTACGTTGTCGGAGACTTGCGAGAAAGAAATGGCCGACATTTTGAGACAGCGGGCGTTGGACATCAACCTGAACCCCCTCATAAGGGTGTTTTGCAGAAACGAACTGGAGACCATCTGCAAATTGGAGGGGGAGGATTCCGGCAAAGTGGAGGAGTGCCTAAAGAGTGCTCTGATGAGCAAGAATATCCCGACGGCCGAATGCAGAGTGGAAGTGGCCAATATGATAGAGGAATCGCAGGCGGACATCCAAGTGGATCCCCTGTTGCAGAGGGTGTGCGCCCTGGATTTGTTGACCAATTGCAAAAACATTGAACAGGGAAACGGACGACGTAAGTACAAGCCAGTTCCGGATAATCTTGCACTTATCATGCGATGTTATTTTCTCGAAATTAGGTTTGTCATCTACGTATTTTTGCCTCAAAAACACGAATTTGATAATGAAAATGTGAACAAACCACTACCTATCTGAATATTTCACGAAAAAGTTCTGAAATTCTCCTCCTTTTTCCGCCTGTCTTGGATATGCATTGACAGCTACTTCTAATTTTGTCATTGGACACTTTTAATACTCATGATGTACTTCAACGACACATTTTATGTAGAAAAATCAACAAGAAATATAATTTTTTTGGCGATTTTTTCATGTTTATTGAACAATCAAACCAGATGGCGCCCATTTCATTTCAGTTATATGATAAATGAAGGTCAAAAGTCAACAGATTTTGCAAAAACACTTTTTCTCATTTTTGGTAATGGAAATTCTTGGTCACAAGCCAATGCTGAAAAAGCTATAGCAATAGTGAGAAAATCTCTTTTTTGACTTGTTAACTCTAAATTTGAATGAAACTAAATTCATGATCAGAATTGCTCTGAAATTGTATACAAAATACCAATAATTTGTTCATGTACTAATAAAATATATAAAGTGAATTCAATCAAATATCTTGGTATATACACTGATCAAAACTTGAAGAATCATCATGTTTCAGAACTAATAAAGCAACAGAAGTACTCTTCCAAAGTTTAGACTCTCACGAAATATTTTCAAATTTAATTCAACTAGGAAAAAGCCAAATACTCAAAGTGGAATGCAATGGGCGTGTACACCTTAGTAGAACTTTCAACTCAAACCATGTTTATAATGACCCTTTTATACATAAATAATGATTGACGACATTAACCAATCGAAAAATTAACTGGAATGTTTTATTTTTGGATATAAATAATAGTACCTTCTGAAAACGGGCCCTCTTATGACGTAGAAACCTCATCTCGCCATAGTTGAAAAAAAATACCAAACGCCCGACGAAGACTGAGGCAACTGATATATTAATTCTTTCAACTGTGATCTCGCGCTAATTTACTCTGTCAGAAATCATGTATCATTCATCTCTGTCTAGAATACTCTTGTTTCAGTATTAGGGTTTTGACGTCACATCATCGCCTCGTTTTCAGAGGTCCGAAAAATCGGGGATTTCAATGATTTTTTATTAAACGTAGGGAGCTCACAGCGATGAACGGTTTGCGGTGGTGAGCTAGTTTGGGTGAGTTCTATCGAATTATGAAATCATTTTTTTTGTGATATAAGCCCATTGTCACGAATAGAGAGAAACTCAAAGTTATTACCACAATAGTTCATAAGATGAACGAAAGTGGTTGAAAACAAGAGAAAAACAACTACTTTCCTGGCTATATGCCACGCAGACCATTGGATTACATCCTCCCGAAATCTATGCAATAATTTGTATAGACGAATAAAATCGCAAGTGTTTCCTTCGTTAACGCCGAGCTGCGCCTAAGTTGTTCAGGAACGCGTGACTACCTGCAGACCGGTTTCGAGCTGTTGGCTCTCATCAGTACAAGGCTGTTCCAGATAGCTTCTTGATCGCTATCTGGTGCGAACCTGACCCAACGTAAAAGCATCTTAGCATTTATACCCCACTAAAAGCCCTAAAATCATTCGTTTTCACATCAAAGATTACATGGTACTGCTTTGAAATCGGTATTGACTTAGGATATAGATGGGAACTGGGAAAGGGCAACAAAGTCACACTTATGTGGGTTCCAGGGCATGAAGGAATCAAAGGAAATGAGGGCTGATCGCCTTGCAAAAAAAGGTGCAGCATCTGCACCATCTGTGCCTGGTCCTGAGCCTTTTTGTGGGATAAGCAAATGTCACCTAAAGGGAGAACTCGGGAAATGGGAAGAAATTGAAAAGTCCTCCTACTGGAGAGCAACTCCAGGTCAACGACAAGCGAAAAGGTTCATCAACCATTCGCAGAACCGAGCCAAAGAGCTACTCAGCCTCAGCAAACCAGAGCTGAAGCTTATCACAGGCTTTCTCACAGGACACGACCCTCTGAGATACCACCTCAAAAAGATGGGCCTGGCGGAGACTGACACTTGCCGCTTTTGTAACAATGCGACCGAAACCGCGGAACACATATTTTGCTCATGTGAAGTATTAGTCCGCCAAAGGCTGAACCACCTAGAACAGGACTATCTCACCCCTGCTGAGGTGGAAAAGTCAACTGTCAGGAAAATCGTAGGCTTCATCAGAAGTCTAGGGTTAGAGGACCAAAACTAGATAGGGGTAATCACTTCTAGGTCGCAGAGATCGAGAGGTATCTCAGCCTATACGACCTATCTACAATCTACAATCTATACCCCACGAGGCGTTCAACGTCCGCGAAATGAAAACGCAAACACCGAACGCCACCTGGCAAGGAAAGAAACACTCCAAAACAAGATCCCATTTCAGGTGGAATGGGAGTGGCTGGTTGCCCGACTAGCGTATTTTCAACTAGGAAAAAGCCATAATGACAGAATGGCCATCAGCTGGTGTGATTGTTCACTGAATATGGAAAACTCGCAAGAAAATCATCTTTCTAGTCGATTTTCATATTCAAAATGTGTCCTTGAAATACATCATAATACTTATCCGATGATAGGAAAAAAGAAGAAATAGTTTTAAGTTTATCCAAGACAGGCAAAAAAAGAAGGTGACATTTCGAACTTTTTCGTGAAGTATCTTGATAAATAGTGGTTGTTCACATATTCATTATCAAATTCACGTTTTTAAGCCAAAAATACGTAGACAAATAAAATCGAAAAATAAATCCATTGCAGGATAATTGGAAAATTACCTGGTTCAGATTTATCAAGGAACATTTCAACAAAAAGGTTGATTTATGATGTTGTTTCAGATATAAATTGCCTGAAAACTATTTTGGAAAAATCTCCACATGATCTGACACCTGAATGCAAAAGCAAGTTGAAAGAGAGACTAGAAATGTACAAAAATGCCGCACAAGTGGTAAGAATGGAAACTGACGTGAGATAATTGAGAAAAACATCCAGTTAAATTGTTTTAGGTAGCCCTACCAGAAAACTTTCAGGAACTCTATCAACAAGTGAGATTATCACCCTCCAAGAATTATTTTGTTATAATCTCGTTTACTATAATCGGAGCTATATTTCTAACGGGAATATACTGCGGCAGATTTTTCAATAAAAAATACAGACTATTAAAAAATAAGTGATGATAATTATACATGTAGTTAGGTTTTAAAAATTAGACGAAACTTTCACAAAGTGTAATATAAATATACATTTTTATCAAATAATCACCCTTTCATTTTCATTCAGGAACATAAATTTCGCAGTCAACAAGTGCTCAAAGAACCAGAGAACATTTTTCAAGTTGACATATTGGGCGATGTTTTCGAAAATAAGCGCCGTTGTGTCATAAAAAATTATTTATTTGATCCGTTAAATATTTTAAAACGCAACAAAAAATTAACTCACAGCAAAATAACAAAAAAAAAAACAAGAAATCAACACAATCTACAGAAACTACTACACAATATGTTTGGCAGATAACAAATGAAACTTTAATGTCCTTTCAATCATGATAATCTATCTCATAATGTTACATGATCATAAAATCTCTTATAAAATATACAAATTTTAAATAACATTCATTTGATTGAAACTATAATAGACATGAAAGTATTTATGATCTGAAGTATCATCATTTTTCTTTACCCTAAAATGTTTGTCTTTAACAAGGACAATAGTAATTATATTTTAGGATCATGTATCCAGAATAAAATATCGAAATTGAGAAACAGTGACAAACTATAAGGATTTATTCAGTTAGGAAATTGTGTTACATACACCATAGTTTATAGCAGCTTTTTGAAGAGAATTATAATATTCTCAATGCCACAGCTACAATTATATAATATTAGAATGTGAATATTCATCATGTTAAATGTTAAGAAAATTCACTATGCAGAATATTTGCCTCGGCAAACTGAGTAAGTGAATGAAAAACACACTAGAACGAGTTTCCGGCAAAAATATCACAAATAATAAAACTCGAGTATTCAACTCTAAATCATAAGTGAGTATAGATAATATATTCGAGAAGTCAGTCGAGTTACTTTTTTAAACTAAAGAATAGTCTATTGAAGTGGTATTCAAGATAAGCGTCTAGTAGAACAAAATGAAGCTCATTTTTCATGAAGAGTCAAGTCGTTTAATATTCCTATGTGAATATTAACTCACCGGAAGATGTACCTCAAAAGTTGTGAGGTACATTCGACACATTAGTTAAACCTCTAGAGAATACAAACCTACATGCTGCTGCTGCTGCTGCATACCTTATTTGTAATGATACAAAAAACATCTTTTTTGAGCTTATCATTTTATGGAAGAAGGCCACTGAGTAGAGTATTTCTGATGCTTATGTCAACCTTCACTGGCATCGATATCGTCAGCACTTCGCAAACCGGATGGCTCAGTATCACGTGCTGACAAATAATTTTTCGCGTCGAAATATTCAACAACCTAAAAATAAATGAACGTTACATTTTCCCCACAAAGGCAATCTGAAATTCCTGGTTATTGAGAAAGCCAAACGGCTACATTATTTTTGCTTTTCGGTAGTAAATGAGTTATTGAGAAAATTATTAGTGCTGAAACAAGCATTCCATTCCAGATAATCTATTGTGATGAGATTAATCTCCTAGAAACAGCAACACAAATTGACCAAATTTCACCTCAGAAGGGTGAGGAATTTTGTGTTATTATGTTGGTAGCAACAGCTGTCATATACAGTGTCACTAGGTCTGTTCTCAAAACCTTACACATCTTACACTTTTACTATCAAAACCTCCTTAGTCCGAATTCTAGAAAATTTTAGGTTTAAACATTTTCACCATCTATGCAATTCGGCGCACCTATTACCAAATCATCGTAAATCTATGTTTATGGTAGGGACATCTATTAGATATAATCTAAATCTAAAAAACTCGTAGTCTGCAAGAGAGGATAGGGTTAAGCTGTGCTTGTTGAGAAAGTATAAATCTATATTGTTTGAATCATTATATTTGAAATGAAATCCATGTCAGACACCAAAGTAAGTTCATGATGAACTATTTGGTCAATCTTCTCGAATATTTCTGCGGTGATGCGAAGGACAATCTTGTTCTTCATGTGGACAGACTTACGAGGTTGTGATCTGTATATTATCTATTTGGTAGAGGACTTAGGAGCTTTTGATGAGATGCATTCCATTAACATCGTTATGGATATTTGTATAATTTTATTCTGTTCATTCCAAATGAAGACATTGATTGAAATATTTCGGTTCATAATTGATCAAAACCAATTCAGTTTGAATAATTTTCATTTAATTTTTGTAAATACTTCGTATATCGATTATTTGAACGTTGTGAATATAAATCTTCTCAGAATGTTGATTTCATTCATCTAGCAGGTACCTTTACAAAGGAGGAAGAGCCTTAAATAAATGGAACTGAATCGTTCAGAGTACCTAGTGGAAACCGTTTTTTCCCCTCCTGGTTTTGACAGTAAGCCGACGATACTCTGTTTACTCTGCACTATAATACACTGATGTTTTCGAACAGCATGATTTGACGTGATTCTCAGTGTAAAAGTGTATGCAGTGTGAGGGTTTACGAACAGACCTATGAAGTGGATATAACCTTGTCCTCATTTTGAATTAAACAATTCAAATATACTGAGAAGATTGTAGTGTGTTCTCACCGATCGTCACAACACCAAGAAAAGAAGAAAAGAAAAAAAAGCACTCGTGTACGAATCTACTTACATTCCTCTTCAACAGGGGATACTCTAGCGAGATTCTCTCCCATTCGTCGGGCGTGGTCAAGCACAAGGGCGACATGGCGAGGTGCGCCAAAAATTCGATCGAGTACGAGAGGTGGGATTTTTTAGGCGGCGCCGGCGGCGTCTTTTCCCTATCCTCGTACGCCCTGGCCATCTCCTCGACGGACAGCCGAGGCTTGCGCAATGTTATCTTGTCTGACGGGGAGAACAGAAAGGCATTAGCTGGCGATGGCAGCGACCGGACGTTCCATGTTTTTAGTTACCACAATGAAAAGCAATTTTTTCTACGACTACAACACAAAATCACTGTGTGTCGCTACGCTCGGCTATGAACTGTCAACCACGGCAGTCAATCTACTACTTTCCTGCCTAGTAAAACAAATAATTATTGTTTTACTAGGCAGAAAAGTACAAGATTTAATGCCGCGGCGTTTCATAGCCAAGGCGTAGCGGAGGCTAGGAAACCAGCTAATTTTTCAATTTCACGCAAAGTCCAAATTGATTCAAATCACTTGGAACGTTGGAAGTAAAAGTATACTCATTCTGCCTGGGCAGTGAAAGTACACCTTTCCTGCCTGTTAAGTGTCATTAAAAATCCAATTTTAATGTCATTTGGAGAAAAATACATTTTTTCCAACGACCATCTATGAAAACAGCTTTTCATGCCACCGTCTTATGAATAATAGAATAAACACTAAAATTGAACAATTTTTACAGAAAAGTCGCTACGCGAACCTTTCATCAACGCCAGTGTAATTTTTGCGATTTTAGTCAATTTCAATCGAAGATATCCAAGAATGAAAGATATGGTCAACATTTTTTAATCATACAGAGTGGATACTTTGCCTGTAATACATTCGCTACCGGGGAGGTGAATGATTTTTATAAAAATTTGCGGGACACAACGTTTCAACAGAGATTAGTATAATCTCTGGGGTAGCTGAAACTAGAGTTCCTAAATGTACATGACACTGCTGTTTTGACGTTTTTTTGTATATTAGAGTACGGACACTAGACAAGCAGTGACAATCAAACATAACCAAAAACGATTTTGAAGCGAATCATATGTTTTGCCAGACAAGGACAAGAATATGTTTTTTGCTTAGATAAAAGATCCTCGCATCTTCCTTCCTCCACAAGTCCTGGGATGAGTACATCCATATATCTCTCTCTGTCTTTGATTTTTGTATGTTGGTACCCAAGAAGTGGTTCAAAATCCCCTAGGAGCTTTGTAGTTGTCTAGCACTTCTCAACTACGCATGAACATGCACATTCAGACTTGGGATTTCAACTTTGAAGAAGCGATACACGAACAATATATTCAACTCTTTGATATAGATACATCAATATCTGGTACATCAGAGTTCCACAAAGTGACTATATGTTTTCACAAAATTATTATAAGAGTTCGTATACGAAGATGATCTGAAGAATTCTTGGTTGAACAGAGATGTGAAATCTGTTTGAGTCATTCAATTCAGGAAGTTGCTGCTATTTCATCATCAGATGATCTCCATTATTCCATCACAAGCAATAATCAGAGTCTAAATTGGAAAAATAGTATATTATTCAACGAGCGCATAATGATGGCTATTACTCACGAAGATGAAAGTTGCAGTACGAGCCGAAGGCGAGTGCTGTAATCATCTGAGTGGGTAATAGTCATTATGCGCAAGTAGAATACTATACTTTATCTACAACTATTCAAATATCAAAGCAACTCTGAGAGTTCAGAAATATATCTTTGAAAAAATGAAGGTTATTATATTGCAAAATCACTAAATCTGATTTTAAATACTCATTAATTCCATCGAAAATTTATTGACAAAGATTCCATTCAACGAACAGCTTATAACTTATTTCAATAATTTTGATTGTGAAAATTTGATAAACAATGTTGGATATAACTTTTATTAGCAGGAAAAAAGTCGTGCAATCACATATCAGCCAATCTTACCAGGTATTATATGATATTTCACTTTTCAGTTGTAAAATGAATCATATACTATTGCAGATTATTCATTTTTTGCTTCCGCTGTAGCGTTCCCCCACCGCGATGATTGATTGTAGTACCCTGTCTCTAGAAGCTAGTTATCAACAATGAAATTCCATGGTTCTGATTGGTCTGTACTAATCTATTCCAATAGCCTGTAGCCATATTAGTGTTAGTGTGTGCCTTAGATCATACAGGATCTAAGGTGTGAGCAAATCTGCAAGTGTCAAGTCCTATTTTATGGTTATGGTTACTCATGATGGTTACTCATGATGATAGTCACTGTTGAGGATGGAAAACAGTGAATTCTTATTTTTCCGTGTATTTGTAGAATTAAGATGTTTAAAACTACGAGAACAATGGTACGGTGGATTTGCGAACTAATAGAACGAATACCTACCTAGTTGAATTTGACAAGACGATGGGATGTCAAATTATTACGCCACCCTACTGTCATTATTACTCTTATTACTCGATTCATCACAATAATGACTGTCATTAAATGTCGAAAATCGAGTTAGCAATGTATGAATGACTCCATAGTTGTAGATAAAGGTTCTTTTCGATACTCGCTCAGTTTATAAATTGTGGGTTCGGCTCTTTCTCTCAATACGATCCTATTCTTCAACATCAAATCTTCCGTTCTGAAGTGTACCTGATAAAAATGCGTTGAAAAATGTTCTATATCCTACCAAGAAATTAAAATACCTCGCAAATTTTGTGGCATGAACCCATATTCCATGCCGGCTGCATTATATTCTGTTTCCATTTTTGTAGAATTACGTTATCCGATGGAAATTCGAAGAGAGTAAATTGATTTCCCGTGTTCTCATAGTTGGAAACTGCACAAACTCGCATCTTTCTCCTAATTCTCCCAATTTGATAAACCTTTGAAATTTATATCATGCACGTCCGTGTACTGTCAGTTCCCGCTTTTTCCATCAATTTATTTGTGGTTATGTCTGATTGTCAGTGCTTGTTATAGTGTCCGTACTCTGATATACAAAAAACGTCAAAACAGCAGTGTCAAGTACATTTAGGAACTCTAGCTGAAACCAGTGCCAACATTGTGTTTTTCAAACGCAACCTTATGGCTTGTGACCCCTCATTGGTAAGCTGATTAGAAGAGGAATCCAATGTACTGATCAAATTTTGGTTTCTAGTACGTTTGAGGGTTGCATGACATATTTACCTCCCCGCTAGCAAATTTATTCCAATCAAAGTCTCTACCTTCTACTTACTTATACTTACCAATATGAAATCGTGATAGTGATACAACTTTATAGACTCAATATACCCTCCAGTTCCTTAACACATGTGATCTTTTTTTAAATCAAAATTAATCGAATCAAGTAATACAAAAAATACTAACGAAACTGTGAGCACATTTCTATTTCTAGGAGAAATTATTGGAATGACGATGTTAGAAGTTAAATGAGCCAAGCACACACAAAAAATCAGCAAAATCATAGAATTAATTAAAATAAGTTATAACTAAATGTCAATAATTATAATTACTTCATTAACATTTGAAAAATTTGTTTTCAGTAGTTCTTACCAGGCTCTTCGTTATCTCCGTTCGTCACTATTTCCGGAGAGGGAAGCGACTCCGGCGGTGACAAAGGGCCAGTCGTATTAAATTCGTCGGAAACAATCGGTTGGGGTAAGCTGTCGAAGCTGAAGAATTGCGTGACGTCATGTATGGGTTCACCAGAGAAGTATTCGTCTAGGACCAGTTTGCTAGTCTAAAAAAATGTTCAGATGAAGGTCTCCGTTCCCGGTTGGAAGTTTCAAGTTTGCATTTGAAAAAAACCGAGTGAACCTTTAGCTGGTCCCTGGAATTGACATTTACGTAAAATACAGCCTTTTAGTCACAGTTACTGGTTTGACCTTTGTTTGACATAATTTCTCGGGGGTTCTAGTATTTTTCACCAAAGGGAGCATAAAGAAACCAAGTTCAACCACTCTAATTCGCCACAGGGCCTTAAAAAGTAATGGGTGAAGAAGTAACTTAGGGTTTTCCCTGTATAATAATCAATTCATCAGCTGTTAACGGAAACTAATATTTAGGCTAATATTCCGGAAGATGAATCTACGATTTGATAGAAATTTCACAAAAATCGGACAAGGCTTAAAAAAGTTACAGAGGGAACAATTTGGGCAAATTTTTTGGTGGCTAGTTTTTTTGTCGGTGAGTGTATTTATTTATCGGGCAAAGATTGAGTAATAATCCCTATTATATCGTTCTTCCTCGCATTTCGGGATGAGAGCCGTTATACAACTTTCGTAGTTGAACTCCTATCTTATCATATACAAAGAAGTGCACAAAGACGGCAAGTGATGTAACTTCTGAATCATTCGAGATCGATTTTTGAAAACTGATGGGTAGCAAGTATCCCAAATTACTCATTTATTGACAAAACAATGTTTGTTCTATCGCTGCCGGTTTCACCGGGAAACGACCCCAACTTTTTATTTTCAAATGAGATTATTTTATTCCATAATCGGTTAGGAATCATCATAACGAATTCACTGATCAAATGATTACGAAGATATTCGCGTTCGAAGTTTCCATATGCTCAATAAGACAGAGAAAGATGTTTCGATATTGCACCGTCACAACACCTGAGAGATAATTTATTAATGCACACAAACATTAGTAGAAATCCCGATTTATTACACATATGAAATATATCTAGGTTCTAGGTTCAAAGAATATCAAGTCTCTGGCAATGATTCCACAGAGCTATCCCCACCATTCGTGATTCCATTCATTTATCCTTCTTCAGCGTTTCGGATTGTTGGCTCAAACTTCTCAATAATTTATGAATGTATCGCGATGTCTATCTTTTACTCACCCTGACCATATCCAAATTGTCCCCCGTAATCCTCACGGTACACCCCTTCGCAATGACGGTGTACTTGTACTCGCCGATGTGCGCGTCGTTGGTGCTCAGACTGTGCAGGAGCGCCCGGGAAGCCCTAGCGGAGCCCCCCGCGCCCCCTGGCAGAGCGTTATCGTCCGACGCCGAGGAGTTGACGCTGGAGCTGGAGCCGGTGAGGGGGCCCCCGCTGGACGACAATAAAGAGGGCTCTCGGACGGGAGACGCGTTGCGCCTGATCGTCTCTTCGATCAGCTGTTTTGCGTGACTGGACACAAGTTTTCTTGTTTATTATTCGATACTCGTATGTATACAAGTTTTTTTCTTTTTTTTTTAAACATTTATTTCTGACCTCTAATCAGATTATAATAAATCTGGCACCGGGGCCTTAGCTTTAAATGTATACTAACAGATTCAATAGTAGATTGTTCTATTAGGATCAAAGGTGAATTTTGCATTTGCGAGGCGGAGCGATCAGCGAAGCCGAGCGAATTAAAGGAATTGGCTTAATTTTTTTTTATTTTCAGCCAAGAAAAAATAGTGAATTGATGATATTAACTGCAAATTTTGGAACGTTCAATAGCTCTGGTAGATAGGAAATAATGATTTGAAAGAAAAATCAAGATATACTATTTCAAGTTGAACTCCGAGTTTCCTTCATTATATACTTCAAATTACTTACATAGCAAAAAGAACATTGAACATTTCAAATAGAACACTATCCTTCAATAATAAACTCATCAAATATACAGATGTTACAAAATTTTTAGGTCGTTATATTGATGAACGACTATTGTGGAATAAACATATAGATCATTTGAGGAACAAACTCAATCCTATTACAGGCATTTTTTTCAAAATACGAAATTTCATTTCTACCAGATACTTGAAGAGTATTTATTTCTCTCTTATTTACTCAAAATTTCAATACCTAATATCTATATGGGGAAGTACCAATATTTCATGTTTGAGTCCACTAATGAAATTACAAAATAAAACATTGAAGTGTATTTTCAATTTAAATTTTCTCGAACCAACCATGAATTTATACAAACCTAGAGATTTATTAGATCTGACATCACTATATAAACTTAAAATATGTTGTTTTATTCAATTTGTTCTATATAAATTGAAAATTTCGAATTTAAATTTCAATGAAATCAATTCATTAAATAATCATGGAACAAGACAATCAAATTTACTAATAGCAAATACGTTCAAGTCAAATATCGGCAAACAATCAATTTTTCACACAGGAATCGTTCTATACAACTCATTACCAAGTCAATTGAGGAATATACAGGAAGCAACTAGATTCAAAATTAACTTCAAAAAATATCTGCTTCAGAGACTTTGATAATTCCATTTCCAATTTGAATATCTACTTATAAAAGACTAGGTTGATATTGCATGATTATTTGCATTTTTTTTACTTGTTATATCTTATTATAATTTCATAATTGTATGTATAACACTATGTATATTGTTTATGTATCCCTATTATAAACAACTATGTTTCTTGGGGTAATAAAGACAATCAATCAATAATATCATTAGATTCTTTTCAATTCCATTCAAAGTATCTTGAATCTTAAGTATTCTGATTAATTCTCAAATCCTTTTTAATTACTCTTCAGTACTTCTTAATTACATTAATTACTTTGAAATATTTTCTAAATATTTTCATTATTTACAAATATCACATACTTTAAATATGGTGTACACTTTTATGGAGATAATTACTAAATTGAATGCATTTTCAATTAACATTTTCATGTACTAGAAACATCTGTAGGTACACTCAAACGAAAAATATTCTTCTTTCTTTCTTTCCTCTATCACTTCACAACACATTAGGTGACAGTATAATTTGGCAGATTTTAGAATACTTACTTGATACTTTCTTCATTGGCACCTGTAATCTGGACAAGTCTCTCTTTGGCACCGGGATTGACTACAAGAGTATTTCAATGTCAAAAATTTGGGAAATACTTTTTACAAAACTTTGGAGAAAATATGGCCAATTGACAAATTTTCTCCATTCTGATTTTGTGAGTTCCTAATCAATGATGAAACAAAAATGCTTGATCCTAAATCTAGAAAGTTATTTGAAAAACTTGTCCTGAGATTCAATAGAATGAACTTAGGATCAAGTACCTTATGAAGAGAAATAGAGGATGAATCTAATGTCACAATTCACATGATGCAATTCTCATTCTTGTGAATGCTGTTGAAGCACACAGTATGTCCAGAGTATATAATACAATAAAAGTAGAGATAAAAGTACTAGATCTATAATAGATATCAATACTATTTTTTTTTCTAAATAAAAACGGTTTTAAAGAATTCTCAGCTTAGCCAGTAATAATTAATTGAGGGACCTTTAATAGTGAAATTGAAACACAAAACATATTATTGATATTGCCATAAAAACCTATTGACAAATAAACTGTATTACACAGTGACCAATTTCAAATTCATAATTATATATTATATTCCTGAGTTTGCAATTCAGAACTGACAAAAAATTTGCAATTCTAGATTTCACACTGCTCTAATTGACTCACATTTACATTAACTTTCACAATAAAAAAAATAATAATTCATCTTTATTGTATTATCAGGTCAACTGACATGATGGGAAAGTGAGTGATGCATAAAATATTACAGTGCAACCATATTTAGTAATTTTTAGGCAGAACATTAAACATACAGTCACAAATCAATGCACACATTTCACAAAGAAAATAAAGTTATTATTCTGATTAGAAAAGCAATTGTTAGGTGTAAGAGAGAGTTCAAACTTGAGTTCCATGACATTTTACCTCTCTGAAATGATATAATTGTCTCACTCAGCTCCTCAATCATATGTACCCTCCTTCCTTTGATACCCATAACTATAAACGCAAAAAAATGATAACAGAATGCTAAGATCTATTCAACCTTAGAGAAAATTTACATCAAACATTATTATTGAGAAGGAATTTCAATAATAATATACAGAGATCTTCCACAATAGCATTTGAGATTTAAAGAAATCCTGTTCATTGGAAACATGAATGCTTTGTTTGTAAAATTCTTCAAAGTCTCACCTTTTCCAGAATCTGCATTCCTGATGACAACTTCATCTTTGCAGTACTTTTTACCTGGTATTCTGGTAGGCTTGTTAAATTTACCAGATGGTTTGATAACCTCACCTGGCCCCAAAGATGGTGGTGGTGATGAAAGGGTAACAGAGTTTATAGAATCACTCAAGCTGGATATGGATTCTGTCATATCCATCTGAAAAATCAGTGAAGCCATTGATAAAACAGAAAAATCTGAATTGAGATTTCAGATGAATTTCAAGTCAGTCAAAACTGGATTAAAATACAATTATTTTCAGTGGTCAGGTTTTCACATTACTTGTGTGTTTCCAAATTGGTTGATTTTCTTTTTGTAGTACATGTTCATTCCATCAGTTCCCTTCCAACCTTTTGCTCTTAATTCGATCAGTTCAAGTAAATGTAATCTTGATAGCATGTCCACTTGAATATCATCCTGTGCTTTGTCCCTGAATATTTTGAATGAATGATCCAATTGTTCCTTGAACAGGATCTCCAGATACACACCATATACCTGATAAGAGACAATAATGTTGAAGAGTGTGGTGATAAAATTGAAATTCATATTTTATATGCAATTTACCTTCAAATGTTGGCATAAGTTTATCACACTGTCCTTGTAGGAGAGTTTATTGTCAGCAATATTTGATGATAATAGTGCTGCAACTTGTTCAACTGCTTGAATAACGTCTTCCACTACAAAAAAATTGGATTGTCGAATATAGGCGCAAAATTGTGATTATTTTATGCTTGCCTGTTGACATCAAGCCATCCTGTTTCAATTTATTAGCCAATATTTGGGCCTGACTGTGCGATTTTACCAATTCATGCTTTTTTGGATGCTTCAAGCGCGAGGAGATACTAGAGGACATTTTCGTTTGGAGTAGTCCCTAAAATGCTTACGCGTGAACATTTTTCATTATGAATTTGGTGTAGGTATTTTCAAAACATTGTAAAAGGATTTTTGCGTGAGTCACATCAAAAAAATTGACAGGATGCATATTTAACCTGAATAAAAAATGATTGGAGAGAGAAAGTACGAGTTGATCATCAATATTTACGAGATAACGAAATGATAAGGATTAATCAAGTACTTACTTCAAATCTAAACAGATTTTAGGCAGAGATCGATTTTTCCGCGAACAGGAAAAATTCACAACTCTTCACAATAGCGGATACACAGAAACCATCTGCGAATCGTCCCGAATGCGCGCGCATATATCAATACAGATCTGCAGGTCCCAGGTTCGATTCGCTATGAACTTAATCTTTTTTTAACAACTTTTTTTCACCAATGTATCTTTACTTCATTCTGGTTTAGCTTCCTCAAAAAATATCGAATGTCGAATAGGTTAGTGCGTTTAGGATAAACAGTCTCATTTTATTCAATTTTGTTGAAAAACTTGACTCATCATTGATCAATGTGTATTTACTTCATTCTGGTTTTCCTTCCTCAAAAAATATTGCAATCAGGAATAAGTTAGTTTGTTAAGGATAAATAGACTCAATCCATTTAATTTTGTTGAATACTATATTTTTATATGACTGAAATTTCCCTCTTCATCCTATTTTCTTTTCTCGAAGAGATTCGGATTCAATCACGATTCATTTTGAATGCACCGCCATAGCTAGAATCGTTCTGATTGGTTCATACACTCGGGACGATTTGCAGATAGTTTCTGTGTATCCGCTAGTTTCACTACTTTCGTTTTTCGTTTAAATTCGATTTCGACTATTCACATTTCGGGAGAAATCGTTTATGGATTATGGCTGACAGTACAGTGTCATTACTGCCATTTGCCAATTGTCAATTGTCACTCAACATATTTCCGAAACATTTTGGATTGAAATAATTAGCTGTTTTACCAACCTTGGAAAATTATACCTTAACTGCCACCTGTTAACAAGTGCGTGAACTATAAAATACACGTACATTTCCAATCGTATCTCTTTGATTGGCCGTTGATTTTAGGGTGGGGGCGGATAGAAAATGGTGAAATGTGAAATTGAAAATATAGTGAGGTTATGTAGGTGTCAGTGACTGGAAAAATATGAATTTGCTTTATTCTCAAATTCAAAAGCAAAAACGTTCACGATTAATGTCTGATATGATAAGATGAACATAAATAAAATAGCGAAATATTTTGCTATTGGTATATTATTTATTCTATATTTGTAAGTAGTAGTATTTGCCCCTTCACTATTCCATGTCATCTGATTTATTTATTCGAATTCCAGTAATATTTTAGTAGCTTGTCTTGAAGATGATGAAGACGATGAAGAAAGCATTTGGAAATCTAGTGAAACAAACATAAGACCCAATATATCAGAAAGTCATTTGGATATTCAAAATGCCATTCCTGATAGTTCAATGGAGGTGGGTGGTGTTCTGGAGCCCAGCCTTGAAGAAAATTTCGTTGGTGCCAATGAGAAATCTGTATGGATAGAACTGACTGTGCCTGATAATTCGACTGAAGAATATAGCTTACCAAATAGGTATAACTATATATACACAGTTTTACAGAATTTTTAAGAGAATCTACTTACTATATCTCTTCTAGAATCTTACTTAATGATACTCCTGTACTGTTGTCAACTGGTAGTTCAACTGTAGATGTAGAAAAAATTCCTGAAGTTTCCTTATTATTTACTAGTCATGATGAAATACCATCACCAAAGCACACTGCTCAAACTGAAAACATTCCAACAAACATTTCCACACAATTTTTTGCTGGTGATGAGAAAAATGACACGGCAATAGTGCCAGATATTGAAAGTATTGAAAAGAATGATACAGCAGAAAAATCAGAGGATATACCCTCATTCTCAGAATGGGCACAAAAAAGACTGGAAGAGGTTCAGAAAAGTGAGCAGAACAATATAACTTTCAAAGCACCATCTCAAAATGGCAAGTATAAGGTCCATAGAGTTTGAATTCAACAGAAAACTCATTTCTCAAATCATTTCAGGAAAAGGCAACAACTCAAAGCTGAGATGGAAAAACTATGCCTCATTGGACTGTGGGGCAAAAGTAGTGGGATCAAACCCAGAAACAATTAGCCCTGGGTCCATTTTGTCACCGGCAGTGGATGAATATAAACTCAGCCCTTGCACCAGTAGAATATGGTTTGTTGTAGAACTGTGTGAGGCAATTCAGGTCAGAAAAATAATTTTATTTCTTTAGAGGTCACAATCATGAATTCTATATATATGATATTATGAACAGAACCAGCATAGTAATATCAATTATGAATATGTTCTTCTGTTATGTTCAACTCTGAATAGGAAATACAAGAAGACATGAGTGTTGTATTAATGAATTGAATGAATTTCTGTGAGCAATACCATCCTCCACAGAAAAATTTATTTATTATTTTATAGTGATGTGAGTGTATTTTTTGCCACTAAAGAGTTTTCCATTTTTTACCAAAAAACTGTTTTTCCAATGAAATATTTTGTTATTAAGTCTAAAACTCAATAAATTAGAGGTAATAACAGAAAGTTCCTAAATATAGAATATGGATTATTTTCAGCATACCTATGCATAATAGAATGTGAAATATTTTTTTACCAACGTTTAGGGGAGTTTCAGCCTGCTAAAATTCGGATTGAAAATATTTCTACAATAAAATCATATTGCACATTCTAATTTCCCAACAAAAAAAAGGAATCCTTGTCTGCAGCCACTAATTTTTTGTCCACAGCAAACACTTTCCGTCCGCTACAGTGTTGCCAGTTCTATTGAATTTTCAGTAGATCTCCTGATTTGCATATGGATCTACTGAAACATTTAATTACCTACTGAAAAATATTTTGACACTCATTCATTATTATAATTACCTATATTATTATTATGTATTATTAGTTAATCACATACACTTAGAAATTGCATGATATTTCGGCAGGCTTTTTTTAAATTAACTTCACAAAATAAGTAATAAATGTACATACATATAGGTACTAATGATATGTATGAACCAAAAAAGGATAATACTTTATCTGATTCAGATCAAATTCAATGTTTTATATACCTCTGTTATAACAGTTTGTTCCTTATGTTTAATTTTTTATTTGTTTTCTATTTTTGTTGTTCACTTTTACTATTTGTTCCTGTTTTGTATACTCAAATCTTACCTATGTAACTGTAATTTGTGATTTTTGGGATTATTTTCAAAATGAGAATTAGGAATATAATGATTATTTTTATAAGAGAATGTTTGTGTTATTTGTTTCTATTATGTTGGAAATAGGTTAGTTTTCAGTTTACTGAAAGTACATATTGTTTTGACGTCATAGGTGTATTTCATTATCCTTTGCTGGAATTCCTATAGCATAAACTAGATCTGAATTTTTGACAAGGTATTTACTGATGAAGAATCGAACTGGCAACCCTGGTCCGCGCGGAGAGTGTGTTGGCAACAACTGTCATTTAGGCCTCAGTATCAATCTGCAAACTGGACTATAATCAACAGTGTTTCGTATTTTCGCCGTTTTCTGGCACTTTCGACCGTCCGAAGATGGCTCGGTGACGATATCGTACTGAAGTCTTAGGTGGGAAAATGAAAATTTTTATTTGGCCTATTAAAAATCTGAAAAAATTCACAAAGACTAATTCAATGTCGAAATGAACGAATCTGTGGTAGAAATCGGGAAATTTAGAAAATGGAGACGTAGTAGCCTACCGGAGTGCTTCTATTGGCAATAAAAGCGAAAAACTGTTTTTGAGCACAGATATCTCAAAAACTATCTGTCCTATGGAGCTGATTATGGTCTCATTCGATTCAGCGTGTCATTTTCTACTATGAAAGCGATAATTCGCGTGGATTTTCGCCGTTTTCTGGCACTTTCGACCGTCCGAAGATGGCTCGGTGACGATATCGTACTGAAGTCTTAGGTGGGAAAATGAAAATTTTTATTTGGCCTATTAAAAATCTGAAAAAATTCACAAAGACTAATTCAATGTCGAAATGAACGAATCTGTGGTAGAAATCGGGAAATTTAGAAAATGGAGACGTAGTAGCCTACCGGAGTGCTTCTATTGGCAATAAAAGCGAAAAACTGTTTTTGAGCACAGATATCTCAAAAACTATCTGTCCTATGGAGCTGATTATGGTCTCATTCGATTCAGCGTGTCATTTTCTACTATGAAAGCGATAATTCGCGTGGATTTTCGCCGTTTTCTGGCACTTTCGGCCGTCCGAAGATGGCTCGGTGACGATATCGTACTGAAGTCTTAGGTGGGAAAATGAAAATTTTTATTTGGCCTATTAAAAATCTGAAAAAATTCACATAGACTAATTCAATGTCGAAATGAACGAATCTGTGGTAGAAATCGGGAAATTTTGAAAATGGAGACGTAGTAGCCTACCGGAGTGCTTCTATTGGCAATAAAAGCGAAAAACTGTTTTTGAGCGCAAATATCTCAAAAACTATCTGTCCTATGGAGCTGATTATGGTCTCATTCGATTCAGCGTGTCATTTTCTAATAGATAAGCGATAATTCGCGTGGATTTTCGCCGTTTTTTGGCACTTTCGGCCGTCCGAAGATGGCTCGGTGACGATATCGTACTGAAGTCTTAGGTGGGAAAATGAAAATTTTTATTTGGCCTATTAAAAATCTGAAAAAAATCACATAGACTAATTCAATGTCGAAATGAACGAATCTGTGGTAGAAATCGGGAAATTTTGAAAAATGGAGACGTAGTAGCCTACCGGAGTGCTTCTATTGGCAATAAAAGCGAAAAACTGTTTTTGAGCGCAGATATCTCAAAAACTATCTGTCCTATGGAGCTGATTATGGTCTCATTCGATTCAGCGTGTCATTTTCTAATAGAAAAGCGATAATTCGCGTGGATTTTTGCCGTTTTCTGGCACTTTCGGCCGTCCGAAGATGGCTCGGTGACGATATCGTACTGAAAGTCTTAGGTTGAAAAATTAAAATTTTTATTTGGCCTATTAAAAATCTGAAAAAATTCACATAGACTAATTCAATGTCGAAATGAACGAATCTGTGGTAGAAATCGGGAAATTTTGGAAAATGGAGACGTAGTAGCCTACCGGAGTGCTTCTATTGGCAATAAAAGCGAAAAACTGTTTTTGAGCGCAGATATCTCAAAAACTATCTGTCCTATGGAGCTGATTATGGTCTCATTCGATTCAGCGTGTCATTTTCTACTAGAAAAGCGATAATTCGCGTGGATTTTCGCCGTTTTCTGGCACTTTCGGCCGTCCGAAGATGGCTCGGTGACGATATCGTACTGAAGTCTTAGGTGGGAAAATGAAAATTTTTATTTGGCCTATTAAAAATCTGAAAAAAATCACATAGACTAATTCAATGTCGAAATGACGAATCTGTGGTAGAAATCAAGAAATTTTAGAAAATGGAAACGTAGTAGCCTACCGGAGTGCTTCTATTGGCAATAAAAGCGAAAAACTGTTTTTGAGCGCAGATATCTCAAAAACTATCTGTCCTATGGAGCTGATTATGGTCTCATTCGATTCAGCGTGTCATTTTCTACTAGGAAAGCGATAATTCGCGTGGATTTTCGTCGTTTTCTGGCACTTTCGGCCGTCCGAAGATGGCTCGGTGACGAAATCGTACTGAAGTCTTCGGTCGGAAAATGAAAATTTTTATTTGGCCTATTAAAAATCTGAAAAAAATCACATAGACTAATTCAATGTCGAAATGAACGAATCTGTGGTAGAAATCGGGAAATTTTGGAAAATGGAGACGTAGTAGCCTACCGGAGTGCTTCTATTGGCAATAAAAGCGAAAAACTGTTTTTGAGCGCAGATATCTCAAAAACTATCTGTCCTATGGAGCTGATTATGGTCTCATTCGATTCAGCGTGTCATTTTCTACTAGAAAAGCGATAATTCGCGTGGATTTTCGCCGTTTTCTGGCACTTTCGGCCGTCCGAAGATGGCTCGGTGACGATATCGTACTGAAGTCTTAGGTGGGAAAATGAAAATTTTCATTTGGCCTATTAAAAATCTGAAAAAATTCACATAGACTAATTCAATGTCGAAATGAACGAATCTGTGGTAGAAATCGGGAAATTTTGGAAAATGGAGACGTAGTAGCCTACCGGAGTGCTTCTATTGGCAATAAAAGCGAATAACTGTTTTTGAGCGCAGATATCTCAAAAACTATCTGTCCTATGGAGCTGATTATGGTCTCATTCGATTCAGCGTGTCATTTTCTAATAGATAAGCGATAATTCGCGTGAATTTTTGCCGTTTTCTGGCACTTTCGGCCGTCCGAAGATGGCTCGGTGACGATATCGAACTGAAATCTTAGGTGAGAAAATGAAAATTTTTATTTGGCCTATTAAAAATCTGAAAAAAATCACATAGACTAATTCAATGTCGAAATGAACGAATCTGTGGTAGAAATCGGGAAATTTTGGAAAATGGAGACGTAGTAGCCTACCGGAGTGCTTCTATTGGCAATAAAAGCGAAAAACTGTTTTGAGCGCAGATATCTCAAAAACTGTCTGTCCTATGGAGCTAATTATGGTCTCATTCGATTCAGCGTGTCATTTTCTAATAGATAAGCGATAATTCGCGTGGATTTTCGCCGTTTTCTGGCACTTTCGGCCGTCCGAAGATGGCTCGGTGACGATATCGTACTGAAGTCTTAGGTGGTAAAATGAAAATTTTCATTTGGCCTATTAAAAATCTGAAAAAATTCACATAGACTAATTCAATGTCGAAATGAACGAATCTGTGGTAGAAATCAAGAAATTTTGGAAAATGGAGACGTAGTAGCCTACCGGAGTGCTTCTATTGGCAATAAAAGCGAATAACTGTTTTTGAGCGCAGATATCTCAAAAACTATCTGTCCTATGGAGCTGGTTATGGTCTCATTCGATTCAGCGTGTCATTTTCTACTAGAAAAGCGATAATTCGCGTGGATTTTCGCCGTTTTCTGGCACTTTCGGCCGTCCGAAGATGGCTCGGTGACGATATCGTACTGAAGTCTTAGGTGGTAAAATGAAAATTTTCATTTGGCCTATTAAAAATCTGGAAAAACTCACATAGACTAATTCAATGTCGAAATGAACGAATCTGTGGTAGAAATCGGGAAATTTTGGAAAATGGAAACGTAGTAGCCTACCGGAGTGCTTCTATTGGCAATAAAAGCGAAAAACTGTTTTGAGCGCAGATATCTCAAAAACTATCTGTCCTATGGAGCTGATTATGGTCTCAATCGATTCAGCGTGTCATTTTCTAATAGATAAGCGATAATTCGCGTGAATTTTTGCCGTTTTCTGGCACTTTCGGCCGTCCGAAGATGGCTCGGTGACGATATCGAACTGAAATCTTAGGTGAGAAAATGAAAATTTTTATTTGGCCTATTAAAAATCTGAAAAAAATCACATAGACTAATTCAATGTCGAAATGAACGAATCTGTGGTAGAAATCGGGAAATTTTGGAAAATGGAGACGTAGTAGCCTACCGGAGTGCTTCTATTGGCAATAAAAGCGAAAAACTGTTTTGAGCGCAGATATCTCAAAAACTGTCTGTCCTATGGAGCTAATTATGGTCTCATTCGATTCAGCGTGTCATTTTCTAATAGATAAGCGATAATTCGCGTGGATTTTCGCCGTTTTCTGGCACTTTCGGCCGTCCGAAGATGGCTCGGTGACGATATCGTACTGAAGTCTTAGGTGGGAAAATGAAAATTTTTATTTGGCCTATTAAAAATCTGAAAAAATTCACATTGACTAATTCAATGTCGAAATAAATGAATCTGTGGTAGAAATCGGGAAATTTTGGAAAATGGAGACGTAGTAGTCTACCGGAGTGCTTCTATTGGCAATAAAAGCGAAAAACTGACTTCGAGCGCAGATATCTCAAAAACTATCTGTCCTATGGAGCTGATTATGGTCCCATTCGATTCAGCGTGTCATTTTCCACTCGAAAAGCGATAACTCGCGTGGATTTTCGTTTCGTCCTTGATACATAAATAACTATTTCAGAATCATGATCACATCCCTATTATTTCAAAAGGTAGTTATACTATTTCTAAATCATTCGTGGCTTTATAGGCCCAACGGATAGACATTGCCAATTATGAACTATTCTCTTCGTCCCCGAAAGAATTCACGGTATTAGTCAGCGAACGGTACCCCACCAGGGACTGGACATTGGTGGGGAAGTTTGAGGCCAAAGACGAGCGGAACATCCAGAGTTTCGACATCGAGACGCAAATCTTCGGGAAATATATCAAAGTAGAGATCAAATCGCATTATGGGTCTGAACACTATTGCCCCATCTCTTTGTTCAAGGCGTATGGGATGTCCGTCTATGAAGGTAATTCTGTGCATACACCTGTCTCCTGTCGATTAATAGATTACTTTTTCACATGAGAGGAATTGAAAGTAAATATCCAAACCATCTGAATATTCATGTTGCTGCAGGTATATTTTCACTCAGATTCAGATTCTTTCAGTAACTACCTACATCTCCAAAATTTATACCAATTTGTATTTTGTGAATATTTTGAATAAACATTATTATCATTATTATTATCGCATTTAGAATTTAAGAAATTCCTTTTTACTACAAATTTACTTTCAATATTGCAACTTGAACCGAAGTCTTATGAATATGGAGATATTTTTCGTCGACCCCTGAAAAATAGTTATTTATTATACAAGGGAAAAAAGTAGTAGATTTTAGCTCCAGGTTGTGTTGTCTCCCGACGCGTAGCGGAGGGAGACAAAAAACCGTGACAGAAGAAAGGACGAATCAATATTGAGAAGATATTACATTATTTCGAAATCTGAAAATTATCGACGTGAAATTTCAAGTTTTTAACAGTAGGGACACCTGCGTTTTATAGACATCTTTATCATTCTTTTGAAGTAACCAAATATCTGATGTCACTTCTGTCAGTTCAATTCTGTGATTTTATTTTAAAAAATTGCGAATTCAGTAGTTGTTTAGTAATAAACGAAACCGCGAAGTCGAATGGAAGATAAAAGGACTTGCAGTTCTTTCTCGGAGACGGTATTATTGACTCATTTTTCGGAACTATAGCACAACAAAAGCCATTAACAGAGTATATATATATATGTGATATATATCCGGGAAAGAAGTACTCACTTTTTTCCCACGGGAAAAAAGTAATTTATGAAAAGTGACATTTTATAACCTGCCAACAGAGATGAAATGCCAAACTTTTTTCCCGTCACAGAAAAAACACATTTCACGTTCTAATTCTCGAACGAAAAACCGATTATTTCCGAAGGCATTTCGTCCTCTGCAGGGTTGCCAGTTCTACTGAATTTTCAGTAGATCTCCTGAAAAATAATTTGACACTTATTTATCATATATCTTTATTTAATCACATACACTTATGTATTGCATGATATTTCGGCATGCTCTGTTTAAATTAAATTTACTTAGAGGTACTAATGATATGTATTAATCAACAAAGGACAATACTTCATCTGATTCAGATCAAATTCAATTTTTTATATACCTCTATTATAACAGTTTGTTTCTTAGTTTTAATTATTTTATTTGTTTTGTATTTTTGTTCTTCATTTTTACTATTTGTTTCATTTTTTTGTGTACTCAAATCTTAAAAGTATCTATTTTTTGTGATATTTGTGAGTATTTTTAAATTGCGAATTAGGAATATGATTATTTTTTATGAGAATGTGTGTTTTGTTTCTATTTTGTTGTAAATAGGTTACTTTTCTGCCTGCTAAATGTACATAATGTAATGGAATTTGTATGGCATAAAATAGATCTTTAATAGATCTATTGAAATCTACTGAATTTTTGACAAGGTATTCACTGATGGAATAAAAAACGAACTGGCAACCCTGAAATGCGCGGAGAGTGAGTTGACAACAAAACTGTCATTTGCAGTTTTCAAATTAATAATTGAGGAAATCTGATAGATTCCACATGTGAATAGTATAGTCCTATTACAGTGTTTCCTCTTTGCTACATGAACTATTTGGTATGTTCATGGAACCCATTACTTGTTATTGTCCTAGATACTGTTAAGTGATCCAGTTAATGTTAAATTGGGAACTGCTCTATTTATAACAAGAAAACTCTATCCAATTGGTGAAACTGAGTATTGATTTATTGTTATATGCTACAAACAGAATATTTTAAATTACATATAGAGTGGTCCAACGAAAACTCTGCACCCTGAAAAAAGCTCTGACCCGTCGATTTCTGATTCAAGGGGACACGACCCGAAGAAAGCAGTCAATTGGTTCCCCATCGAATCAGAAATTGATGGGTCCGAGCGTTTTCCCGGATTTTCATTTCAATGCCCGAAAATCGGGGTATGAAGTTTTCGTTGGACCACCCTGTACGTATATCTTGTGAACAATTGAAAGGATTATTTGTCATTAATCTGAAGGCAAACAAATTCAATCCTTATCTTATTCATCCAATAATGAATCAATCAACTACTACTGTAAATTTCTATGTTGTAATCACTATAAAAAACTAAATCACAAAACTTTTTTTTCATCTCTGATAACATAATATGATACTGTAATCTTTACTGCTATTTCAGTATTGAAAAAGTAAGCACCTGTAACAAGGTCAAGATAATCATTCGGAATTGGGAAGTTATATAAAGTTAATTTGTATGCAATATGAATTTATGTTATCAGAACTGTTCTGTTATCTAAAATAAATGTCATCGGCATATTCAGTTCATCAAGCGCCAATTATTTTTCTTATCAACTAACTGTGTGGTGCATTGTTGAAAAAATGCTTAACGTATCACAGGTTAGGTTACTAGATCTGGTAACATATCATAGGTTAGGTTACTAGATCTGGTAACATATCCTAGGTTAGGTTACTAGATCTGGTAACATATCCTAGGTTAGGTTACTAGATCTGGTAACATATCCTAGGTTAGGTTACTAGATCTGGTAACATATCCTAGGTTAGGTTACTAAATCTGGTAACATATCTTAGGTTAGGTTACTAGATCTGGTAACATATCCTAGGTTAGGTTACTAGATCTGGTAACATATCCTAGGTCAGGTTACTAGATCTGGTAACATATCCTAGGTTAGGTTACTAAATCTGGTAACATATCTTAGGTTGGGTTACTAGATCTGGTAACATATCCTAGGTTAGGTTACTAGATCTGGTAATATATCTTGGGTTAGGTTACTAGATTTGGTAACATATCTTAGATTCATTATTCAATTTTTTTTTGGATTTTTTTTCTTGGATATTTTTTTTTTCATTTTTTTTTTATTTTCTCTCCTCGTTTCTATATAATAAAAATATGAACATTATTTCATTATACGTGTAGTATGGACAAATCAGATGATTTGCCCCAAAATGTCACTGCGTTTAAAGAAAAGCTTAATGACATCACTCTTGATATAAATGATACTCTTGTTAGTTTTGATGTAGTAAGTTTATTCACAAATGTTCCAATAGATAAAACTTTACAAATAGTGAAACATAAATTAGAAGACGATGAAAATCTCACTGAATGAACTAATCTAAGTATTTCCAAAACACACAATAGTTCAGTTACTCCAAAACAAAAATTTTTCCAGTAAATTCTACACTTATTTTTGTTATTCCCACATAATATCAGCAAATAATAGTATATTATTCAACAAGCATATAAGGAGGGCTATTATTCACGAAGGTTGAGTTTATGTCACGAGTGTAATAAAAACTGTCTCTTGTCTCGCCTGATTGTTTGCCTCGGTTAATGCCTCGGCTATGAATTCGCAGACCCGACTATAATATACAGTATTTTGTGGTTGGTACATAAATAACTATTTCAAGAATGCATTGATATCTTCAATCCCTTCCTTAGTACTCCAAAAAGAAGACTCTGGAAACGCTAACCACGTAGAAGACGACGACGACGATGACGAAGAAGACAACCTATTCTCCGCCAAAAACGGCGTTGAAAAAAACATCTTCAGCTCCGCCACTGACGCCGTCATCTCGATGGTCAAAAGGGCTGCCCAAGTACTCGGCAACAAGGTGACCATGCAATTATTTTAAACTAGCAGACCTCGCAATCGTTGTTTTGCTATGTACATTATTTCTATAATATATTTTTTCAGTTCAATATTCATCACTATCACACTATTATCATTTTATTTTCGACTTCTCTTTAGTTTTTCTATCTATAAAAGCGTGTTTCTTTAGTTTTTCAAACTACTATTTACTTCAACTTCTTTATAGTTCACGTGAATTTCCCAATTTTGACGAAAGAACCATAATATACGACTCCTAAAACCCCAGATGAAAATTTTTAATAGAATTGGAACATAATCACAAAACTCGTCCGCGAAATTGGATCTACCATCTTGAATTCCCTAATTTTGACGAAGGAATCATAATTTTTGATCCCAAAACTTACAAATTTTGAATAGAATCGGTATATAATTACAAAACTCGTCCGGTATGTTGGTTCCACCGTCTTTCCAATTCCCGCCCTTTCCAAATTTTGACAAAAGAATCATAATCTCCCAGATAACAATTTTGAAGAGAGTCGGATCATAATTACAATACTCGTTTGCCATATTGGGTCCGCCATATTGAAGTTCCTAATTTTGACGAAAGAATCATAATCTCCGACCCCGAGAACCACCAGACACCAAATTTGAATAAAATCCTTAATACAAAATCCGCCATTTTGGATCCGCCATCTTGAATTTCTTAATTTTGACGAAGGAATCATAATCCCCGATCACGAAAACCTCTAGGTACCAATTTTGAAAAGAATCGGATAATAATTACAAAACTCGTCCGCCATATTGGTTCCGCCATCTTGAATCTCCAAATTCCGCCCGAATTTTCAAATGCTGACGAAAGAATCATAATCTCCGACCCCGAAAACCCCCAGATACCAATTTCGAATAGAATCGGACCATAATTACAAAACTCGTCCGATATATTAGATCCGCCATCTTGAATTTCCTAATGGTACCGAGATAAAAAGTATCCTTTAACCTTCTCCTGGTTCTAAGCTACCTCCCCACCAATTTTCAGCCAAATCGATCCAGTAGTTTCGGAGCGTATTCAATACATACAATCAAACATACGAACAAACAAACAATCTAAACCTTTATTCTTTATAATATTTGCATAGATAATAATTGTTACTTTTAAAATATGATATACATTTGATAACAATATTTACTAAGAAATGTGTAGCGCAATTTAGTAAATGTAACAATGATGGAATTACAAATAAATGTTATTATTATTATTATTAAGGTGGACAATCAAACAACCAACACCAACAAGTCATTGTCCAGTGCCCTAGTAAATACCTGCAGCTGCCCCAGACACCTGATCATCTGCAACAATTGCACCGAAACGCTTTTCGGGCAAATCTACGAGCTGCTCAGCTGCAAATCGAATACGATCAGAAAGCTGATCGGCCTGCCGCCGATATACAGGGCGTTGGCCGGATCTGCCAGCTGCTCGAAGTTCGGCTACCGGAACAGTAACGGGCGCGATGACAGTCGCTTGGAGAGTTTTTTTCCGGAGAAGTATGTGGGGGCGATGTGCAACGAGATGGCGATTTCGGAGCAGCAGGGCGTACTGAACGTTAGCCAGCATTTTCCGAATATTACTAGTGACCTGACCAATGATAAGATCATCAGCATGGATGTGAAGGAAGTTGTGGATCTTCAAGGAAAACCGAACAAAACTGGCATCGACGTTACCGAACAGCCAGGTTAGAAATGAATCTTTTAATTTGATTCATTTTAGTTGATTTATCCCTGGAAGAAGAATCTGTCATTAGATTTCACTGTCACCTAGATTCGTTTGTTTTTTTTTGAAATCCTTAAAAGCTTTGGAAACTTCATCGCATCTCATTATCGATGATAGTTGCGTTTTTCTAAACCTCATCAATCTGTTTTTCAGGATAAAAACTACCTAATTGGACCCCAGAAATTAATTAGAAGATTGTATACAAACGTAGATTTAAATCTCGAATCACAGGAAAGAATAAAATTTCTCCTATGATTTTCTAACATTTCTTAAAAAAAAAATCATTCGTTCTGATTCGGACCCGTTAAAAAAGTATTTCAGAATCCTTACAAAATCGATTGTTTTATCTTGACATGTTCAATCTCAGACCAAATCTTGCTGTAACAGTGTTGATCCGTCAAATTTCCATGTTCTGTTTTTTCAAAACTGGTGAACGATTTTTCTCAAACTTTAAAATACTAATCAAGAGAGGAACACCATGTTTCCCTCAGAGCACCTAGATCGGACTAGAACAGTCACAATATATTCACATATTTTACAAAAACAAATCACAATTTTTTTTTACGGGTACTCCTATTCAATAATCAGAACTGAAGATTTATATTTAGAAATAGTGACTGAAATAAACTTCCAGACAATTTCAAAGAATCGTCTCTTCCAAAACTGGTGGACAAATTATCTCAAATAAAAAAACTACTCAAGAGAGGAACCATTTTTCCTCACATATTTTCCATAGCTTCCTAAGATATTTTGTTCATCACAACAATGTAATGACGTTATCACTGACGTTTCAAAAGTTTGAAACTGACGTATGACCTACTTTTACTCACCAGCTACAGGTGGAAAATGGACAAGCAGTGAGAATGCATAACCCTAAAAAAATTGAAATGACATGACAGTTCATGAACGTACATGACATTAAATTATTTGAAAATCCAGTTTTTCATAAATTAGAATGACTAATAATTGTATTAATTATATTAATATTATATTTATCAAACATATCTTCCGTCAGAACAAGTTCTGATATCTGATTGGATAATAGTTGATGATTTTCTAGGTTATAAATGGTAAAATAGGTACCATTTGGGACCACAAATGATTCTTTTTAATTTTGTGCCCCCTCTTTATTGAAACCTCTAGATTTAACTCAAGTTAATAGGTAAAAAACTTGTATGCGGAAACACCAAATACATTCAGTCTTACTTATTATTTCCTGGTCTTCTCAAATTTGTAAATGGGATTTTAAAATATTGATATATAGGGTGTTGTTTCTCGAAACCAACTTATTAATTTTTTGTAAGGCCGATTCTGGAATAAGATTTTTTTCATTATGTCAATTGTCACTACTGTCGACAAAGAACATAACAAACAAATATCAAAATAATGTATAGGGTGGTTCATAAGTTATAATTAATTGAAAAAATGAGGGAAGTCAATGAATCACCCAAAATCTTGACTATAAAGAATGATAGACGCATGAAATATAGATTATTTAGAAGTACCTCGGTGTCCTCCATCTACCCTTACTGTATGCGCATTTCCCAATGAATCACCCTGTATAACACTTAAAAACTGAAAATCTCCACACAGGCAACACAACCATCCACTCGGCCACCGTAGACACCTCGCAAATAAGACCGACGAAAACCCTCACCGTCGACCCAAACACCACTACGACCCCTGTCCCCGAGGATCTCGTGCCCGCCAACCCGGAAACGGCGCCCCCAAATCCGGAAACGGCGCCCTTCTTCGACGCCGACCCGACGCCGGACGTCGACCTCTCCAACGAGACCATGGAGACGGCGCTGGACGAGCAGATGGAGAGCGTCGACAGTAGCACGGTGGTGGTGACCGCTTCGCCGCAAGCGCCCAAGGAGTCCATCTTTTTGAGGTTATCCAACAGGATAAAGGTGAGACAATGAACTCAATATTCGCGGGAATCAATGTTACCAGGTGGCGCTCGGTTTTCATCGTTCCATGTCAAAGCCACGTCAAAACTGGGGGAAAACAAACTCAATCCTCACTCAATTGACTCAATCCCATTAGTGCCATTAGCTTGTGTACTGTGTACTGACAAGAGTGATAAGTTTTTGAATTTCTAGACATTAATTGTCAGTATTCGATCGAAAACGCCTGTTGTAGATGTTCTTTTGGCAGATATTTTGCTCTATTTAGATGGAAAAAGCCGACCAGTGGAAGGAGAAGCAGTTCTCCGTGCGAATCATGTGATTTTGTGTGAGGCAGAAGACTTCAACAAAAGGCACATTTTTGCACTTTGTCTACAAACTTCGGCGATGAAATCTTCCCCACATGAAGTAATATTGGAGTTCCAGAGGGACTCCTGTAGAACAATGGATTTGTATTTGTTCCTGCAAAGCAGTACAATCTGGGTATTGTAAACATGGTGTAGTGTTCTTTTATATCAATTGATTTGCTCGTCATAATTAGTTTCAATTGTTTGAACTATTATCTCCAATTCTTCACCCGTTCACTGTTCACTAAACTAAGGAAAATGTAATAATGTATGAAAATTTACCAACTCAACCATCATCACTACCAACAGTGCCAACACTTTATGTCATGTTTGTTTTCCCCCAGTTTGAAGTTCGTATTATGTAACCTAGATGTCGCCCCATAAACACCTGGAAGGGAAAACTATGAAAATCATTCATTCTCAAAGTGGCCCCACAGTATTCATAAATAAAAGAGAATACTTTAAGTCGGTCGACCACACTTTATATTGTCACGAGTAGAATATACGGTATATTAGTAATTTCGAACCATGGGGGTTTTATAAACATAAAGTTAATCAAATCATCCGTTGACATTGAATTATGAAAACTGACCAAGGAACTCTCATGAGAGCTATATTTTTGTATATTATATTTATCGTTTATATTCAGGATACTGATAAGACTATGTCGTGTGACTTCGGCCGCTATGTAAACTTACTCATGTGATTAGTACCTAGTTCTCAAACGGTTTGTCAATAAGAATTTATATTCTTCAGGCAATAAAGTATATTTTGATTTGATTTGATTTGAGAAACGTGCATATCTAATAAGACGATGTATATAAATATTGGATGTGAGGGTTCCGAAGTTAGTCTGGGGCTACTCATGACTTGACAAGAGCTCGTCGTGATGGTCGTTATAATTTAAGGTGTTATTAGGTCTTTATATTCATTGGTGGTTATTCATATTTGTCATTGCTACCCATAATGTTACATGTTATAATACAAATTGTTATGTTCGAATATAGTCTCGTACTTTCAGTTATCCCTAAACTATTAGTACCTCTCGCAAACTATTAAGCCAGCATAACCACCTATTATATCGTGACATGGTGGAGGCACATGTTCAGCAAATTCTTTCAATTAACGAGAAATTTCATCCCGCAAAAATTGAACAAAATACCAGAAAAAAATCAAGTACACCACTTTAAAACAATTTGAATGATTGAACTTTGTGTGATTGTGCCTACCGCATGGAAATTTCAGCAGAGGTGACGTCAGATTTGCTCCAGTGTAGAACTTTGGGTGGAAAAAGGGTTCTAACTTCAAATTTCATTTAGATTCCTAATTTTTTTATATAAGTGCCATTCGATAGTACACGCCGAGCTTTCTTAGTCTTCGAAATATTTGCACTTATTTCAATGCTACCCTGTATATTAGATAGTGACCGGTTTCGGCACAACGGCCATCATCAAACTAAAAAGACCTGTTATGGGTCAGGAAAACAAAAAGACATTGAAATTAAAAACCATAATAAGTTTCGTGATGAGATGGATTCAGATTTAACACACTTAATGTTGAAAACTATGCATTTCCGGACCCACGTACATATAATATGAATTTCTTATTTTGTAATGTAGAATCACCCCCTTGATTTTTTGCGCATAATTTCCGGACACCCTGTATTATAACCCCTCACCTACTAAGTTACTAAATTACTGTCATAAAAGACGATAGACACCGCCACTCATTAACAAGTCTGCAGAATCATAGGCAGAGGATTAAAGCATGCCATCGATATATCATTCAGTCAATTTGTCTAAACAAATAATTCAATGAAGAATCATCATAGAAATATGCGTTTTCAGGCATTGGAACGGAACGTGTCCCTCTCGAGCCAGTACTTAGAGGAGCTCAGCAAGCGCTACAAAAAGCAAGTGGAAGAAATGCAAAACCTATCGGAAAAAACGATCGCCGTCCTCCGCGAGGAATCCCAAGAGCGACTGGAAAGCAAACAAAAACTGGAAGAACGTCTCGACCAACTCGCGGCCGCAGTGGACACCCTGGTGGCGGAACGAAGAAGCTTCTTCCTTCTCGTCTATTTCTTCGTGTTTGTCGGCATCGTCGGCAGCGTTTATTATTTTTTTTGCGGATCGACAGAAGGCGCTGATCAGATTTCTCGTCGCCTTTCTGACGAGGACACGCTGAGGAGGCCCAAGGAGAGGAAGAAACGCAGACCGAGCGATCAGGTGCTGAAGATTGTGCGGTACTCTTCGGTGAACGAGGATGAGAGGAGCAGGAGGTAATGACATCCTTCTAATTTTCATAAATAATTATTGATCATTGTGTTGTGTGTAAGGTGCTTATTAATATTGCTTTTCAGGGCAGAAATATTCCGAATTCGGGTTTGATGTTTTCCTGAAAGCAAGACAGTTCACTGAGTTGTTGATAATGAATCATAGCTATGCTCAAACAACCATGAATCCCTCTTTTCTCGAAATTCAAATACTTGAATTGATTTCAAGAAGGCGTAAACCAAATTTTTTTTTCAACTCAGACTGTTTTCTAAAGTTGAACTTTATTCTTTGAATGAGCTTGTTTCAGTGAAAAATGTTATTTCATTATTTTGAAGTACTATCCCTAACAAGTTCACTGTCACAAACCGATTTTCCCCAGTGCTCAGTAAATATTTTAAATATTCATTGAAATTCAAGATATTTCGTAACATGAAAAACGCGGGAAAAGCGTGACGTCATCATCCGAAAAAATTCGACATACGTATCTATTCTCCTTGTCTGTTAGACAAGTGTAAGTATATTTCTGATTGTCATTTCAATCAAAATAATATGGAAAAGTCCGCCTCCTCTGAAGGTGCTCGCCCTAGACTCTAGTGAAGTTTTTGGACTGAATACTTACTGCAGATAACAGAGAACACAACACACAACTGAAGAATCAGATTATCAAGAGGAATATCTTTGAATATTCGCATCTTGACTAGATGAAACTAGAGTACCTGTATGTATTTGCTTTAATAAGAGTACGGACACTATGACAAGCAGTGACCGAAGGCAGAACCCTAAAAAATTTTAAATGACCTGACCGATTTGGCGGGCACTGACAGTTCATGAACGTACATGACATTGAATTATTTGTAGTTATGCCTTTTGTCACTGCTTGTCCGTACTCTTATTACAGCAAAACTGTCAAATACATACAGGGACTCTAGTTTCATCTTGTCAAGATACGAATATTCAAAGATATTCCTCTTGATAATCTGATTCTTCAGTTGTCTGTTGTGTTCATGACGTCATCGAAGCTGGCGTTTTTTGAAGGTGCCTAATTTCATTATTGAAAAAAATATATAGAAGATTTTAATTAACGAATGACTGTATCAAATACTATTTATACGCGGAATGATCGATATGAAATAGGTTTGTGACGAAAATTCGACTAGTGTGTACACCCCCATTGAGCCTTTTTCTCTGAATTCAAACATTTTTCTTCGAATTCAGACTTTTTCTCTGAAGTCACTGCTTAGAATTCTGTTTGCATCAAAGTTTCCTCAGAATCTGAACATTTCTTCAAGTTTCGACTTTCCCTTGGTAGAATTCAGAATTTGTTCTCCGAATTCATATATTTTTCTGAATACGAGCTCTCTTTGAATTCAAACCTATTTCTTTGAATTTAGATTTGTTTTTTCAAATTCCGGCATCTTTCTGACTTCAGACAGTTCCCTGCAAATTCAGACTTTCTTCTTTGAATTTAGACTTCCCTCTTTGAATGCAGACTTTTTTTTTTATAAATCCAGACTTCTCTCTGAATTCAGACTTCCCTCTTTAAAATTAAACTTGTTCATTGAATTTAGATCTTTCATTTGATTTCCAGTCAGTCCTCTCTGAAATCAAAATTTCTTCATTCTGAATTTGGACTCTTCTCTCTGAATTTAGAATTATCTATCTGAATTCAGACATCCCTCTTTGAAATTAGACTTCTTCATTCAATTAAGATCTTTCATTTGATTTCCAATCTTTCCTCTCTGAAATAAAAATTTCTTCTTTCTGAATTCGGACTTTTCTCTCTGAATTTAGATTTGCCTTCCTGAATTCAGACTTCCCTCTTTAAATAAGACTTGTTCATTGAATTTATCTCATTTGATTTCCAGTTTTTCCTCTTTGAAATTCAAATTCCTTCTTTCTGAATTTAAACTTTTCTCTCTGAATTCAGACTTCCCTCTTTAAACTTAAACTTGTTCATTGAATTTAGATCTTTTCTTTGATTTTCAGTCTTTCCTCTCTGAAATTGAAATTTCTTCTTTCTGAATTTAGACTTTCCTCTATGAATTCAGACTTTCCTCTTTAAATTTAAACTTGTTCATTGAATTTAGATCTTTCATTTGATTTCCAGTCTTTCCTCTCTGAAATTAAAATTTCTTCTTTCTGAATTTAGACTCTTCTCTCTGAATTTAGACTTGTCTCTCTGAATTCAGACTTTCCTCTTCAAAATTGAATTCGTTCATTGAATTTAGATCTTTCATTTGATTTCCAGTCTTTCCTCTCTGCATCTCTTTGAAATTGCCATTTTTTTCTGCTTTCGTAAATATTTTAGTTGATGTGCACTGTTCAGATCCACTTTATCTAATGCCAAATCTCCACAATAAGGGAAAGGAATTCCGAAACATCTCGGGATTACAGTCTTATTGATATTATTGAGATTTGCCATTACATTAAAAATAATGAGAGACACCTACCCTTGCAGATCGAAGAAAAGAAAGAAGAAAGTGTCGAAACGTTCGCATTCAGCGGGCAGTTTGAAACTGAAAAACGACGACGATTGGGTGACGGGCACGCAACAGGTGATCGAAGACCACGCGCCGTTCGTATTGGACGAGAGCGATCACGTGATCAGCGAGCCGCTGAATCTGCCTGAGCAGGAGGAGCAGGAGGAGGACCGCGATTCTGCGCAGAGGGTGCAGATTGTCATCGAGGAGAATCGCCATGGAGAGGTGGAAACGAACTCGACTTGTAGGAGTCCCTCCAATGGGATGGAGGGGGTCAAGAAGGAGAAGCGCGGGTTGAAGAGGTTTTTGAAGAAAGTGTTCTGAGAGCTGTGTATTATTTAGATTTTAGGTAACTATTTATATGTTGTAATATATTCGAATAAATAATTAATTTGACTATTATCTGTGAGACAGTGATGCTTCGAGATTTCTTTTGATGGATACTGTTATAGTGAATTGTTATTCGATTGAATGAAATATTTACTGTGATAATATAGATTCTTTTATTTGAACTGCCCCTTCTCTATTTTATTTTCAGTTCCCGAAAAAATGAGGTTTTGAAGTTAAAGGATTACTGTTATCAAAAAGTTTCAGCAATTTTTCGAAGATGCATATTCTGAAAAGAAACCGAAAAGATGCAATTTTTTATACTTGGTTTGTCATAAAAATTGACCCTCAGACTCCGATATCAGTTTCCGTCTATCTAAGTAGTTTGAAGATATGAATTCCTTCTTGAAATTGACTAACTTGGTCCTCCCAGTATTTCTAGAACTTATAATAATAGGTGCCCATACACCAAGACATTTTCCCTCGGGATTGGAGTGACAGGAAAGTATGCGGGCAAGCTCGTGAGATTGGAACGTAGAGGATTTGGCCACTAACGTAAAGTGATTCATAGCGCACCAATCGCGCAGGTACGGATGTGAAAGGAAAAGTATTTAAGTTAGTGGAAGAAAAACGTCAGTTTTCGCGCGGGATAGTGTGGCGTGTAGGATTTTAGGAATTCTAAAATTTCTCTGAGGAGCGGGAGTTTTCAGTGTGAAAACGTATACATAAACTGCAAATCTGGAATATGTGGAATAACAAAAAACAAAAAACTGTACTTGCATGTTCTATGGTTTATGTTTACTCAGCAAGCTTGGTTGAAAAAAAAAGACGTAAGAGACGGGATTGGACAAAGACTTATTGGTTACTTGAGAAACATAAATATATATATAGTCACGTTAGTCTCCTAAAAGAACTGAGAGAGAATTATCCAGAGGATTTCAAAAACTATTTGAGAATGAATATTGAAACATTTGATTTTTTGTATCAGTCCAAGCGCACCAGACGCCACAAACGATAAAGAATTGCAAACACCGAGCACGTGGTTTTACGCGTCAACACAACCGCCGCACGACTGAACGGCTCGTGGAATGGCGCGTTGCACCCATATACGTATTAATAATCAATACGGATAATCTCTATCTGTTTCCATAGCGAAACATGAAGCCGATTTTTGAAGACAAATGACTATCCATAAGGAAAAGTTTTGAAACGATCAGACACATACTGCTTTGATTGAAAGGCTAGTAAACGTCATTGTCCACCGAAACGCGCATGTCTTTGATGACTACTATAATAGCGCATGGCGCATGCGTATCATGCCACCAAATCCTTATGGATATTCATTTGTTTCATATTTTTGGCTTCATCCTGGCACCCGTTATGATCCGTATTGTTTATTAATACGTATATGGTTGCACCACACACACGAGCGCTCTTTCGGGCAGGATTGGCGCGTCACGTTCCAACCTCGTAGGAAAATGTTTCCGTGTATGGCCGGCTAATGGAATCGACGAGATGAAACTGTTAAGGTTTTCGCAAACAGTGTAATAGAGGCTATTTTCCATAATGAATAAAGAACAGTTTTGAAGATGCCTAGTGCAACTGATGAGACTTGGCAATCTGAAACAGCCTGTTTTGCATTATTGGTATGGAAAGTCTAGATTTTTCATTCTTTACAATTATGAAGAGATTATTAATTATTATTTTTTTAATATACCGACAAAGAATTATCACACAGAGAATGCGAATTTTCAATGTATTTCTTTATGTATGGATCTTTTTTTTTCAAATCTGAGAATATTCCTTTTCAATAAGTGTTATTATTCCAATTTTTTGGGATTTTGTCTCCTCGTTCAAATCAGATGATTTGCCCCAAAATGTCAGTGCGTTTAACAAAGGACCCCGCACCGTAATAGGGGGGAAATTGGCTTTCGGTGAATTTTCTCGAATTTTGGATATATCGTAGAACTCGTGATGCTGATCAGATGTCCCAATTATCAACGCTCTAAATTCAATAGTACGTATTATACAGGGTGCTGAAGTAGACTTTTTCAAAATTGCGAATGGCCATTGTGAAATTTCCTTTTTGAAAACCAAAATCAAATTGACTACGTTTTGTTTGTCCATGTGGCCAGTGAAAATCCACTATAGAGTTCAATGATATCTGCACGTACTCACGATATACAGAGTTGGTCCACAATTAAATAGTAAATGTTCCATAATTACTTCCGAAAAAATGAGCGGTTGAAATCAATTCATTTTTGGGCATTTCGCATAATACTAATTTTTTCATTTTACTTGATTTTTTGGGTTTTTTCTCCTCGTTTCTATAAAATAAAAATATGCATAATATTTCAATATATATATATATATATGATGTTGGCAACATCAGTATGACACTGTAAAGTGTCAAACTATAAACAGCACAACTTCCAAAGAGAATTATTTCGCATTTTCATGTTGAGAACGCGGGAGCAGATTCGGTCCCGAAACGTCCAAAAATAAGTAAAAATTCGATATTTTTTCAATATACCTATCTATATTTCTTTCCTTCAAAAAGGACCCCGCACCGCAATAGGGGAGAAGCTTTCGGTGAATTTTCTCGAATTTTGGATATATCGTAGAACTCGTGATGCTGATCAGATGTCCCAATTGTCCAATAATTTTCGATAAAACAGGCCATAGCTTTCAGGGCTATCTGGCGAAATTTTGGGATTTTTGAGATTGACACTGACCTCACGTTTTAGTGGCGCCAATTGGTGATAGTGAAAATATTAGCCCTCATTTACTTTGAAATAATATTAGGGTGTCCAGATCGATTATAGAGGCATATAATATGACGATCTTCTGATAAATTAGTGGCAAATTCTTGGGAGGATCGAGTCCAAATAACTCTATGGTGTACCAGAGGGCGATAAATCAAATTCACGTCGCATGCAGGGTATCAACGGTGACTTTCCACCCTGTCATCAGAGAGAGAATATGAGAGAATAATTGCTGATGAAGGCAGCACGAGCGTAGATAGACGAGACGCGGCGAGGGGGGTGATTATAAGAAAAATGTACGTGGTTCGCTTATTGAAACAAAAAAGATTAACATCAGGTGAATAATGCCAATTTCCGAAGAGAAATGGTTACCAATTCTAAGATGGCCGAAAATGGAGACAAATTCCAGAGACGAACTTGGAAAATTCATTTTCTTCATAAATGTCATAATTTTGACTTTCTGGATCGTGTTTTTCGAAAACTCTCAACAGAATCAGAAAGATCAGGAACAATACTACAAGTACCAGCTTTTCAATTAGTACGGCACACTTCGACCGATAGGGTAAAACAAATTCAAACAAAATACTGATGAATATTTCTTCGATTTCGTCCGGGCACATTACTCTCTACATTCGACTTGAGGTATACCAGCAAAGTTGATAATGTTTTTTTTTAATTCAGGACCAGACTTGATTTTTGAGAAAAACTACAAAACAATTATAATTTTTGAAAAAGCTTTGTCTATACCTCAACAATCTTCAACGAAGATTCTCGAAATGTCCTCTAATTTCTTCACATTTTCTGCATCTCTTCCGAGATCTCTCATGGTTTTTAGAATAATTTGCCTATTATTTCTAATCATATCTGAATCTGTAACTATCCTCTCCCTCAGCTTCTCATCTCTGGTTTGACTTCAGTTTGATATACCAATCGTTTCATATGTCTCCATAGATAATAGTCTAATACTGTTAGGAGACCTAGAAGGCCAAGAATGAGGGCCGCCAATGCTTTCTGAATCGTGAGAACACCAAACTCACAATTTAATTCGCTGGTTGAGAGACTCTACATATGCAATGAGATCATATTCAATAGTTCTTCAAAAGTTCCTCTATGTAGTATGAGTAGGCACGTATATCTGATTCGGATAGAAATCTTCCACCTAAGCGATAATTCCTCATATTGAGTACAATGTTTCCACATTTCCACATGTATAAGCAGATTTCAATTGGAAATTATTTATGTTCATATCTCAAAGGTCTCTTCCAGAAAATCAAGTCCGGTCCTGGATTTTTTTATCGAATAAATAAGCCTCTTTCCAACTCTAATGATACACCAATATGCAAGAAATGAATTTAAATGAATTTGTCGAACGATTCGACTACAATATGCCCGTGCCAAATCATGAAAACGTTCATCGGTATTTTGTTTGATATTTTTTCAACGATTTGGTCGAAGTGTGCCGTACAAAATGAAAAACTATTTGTAGTGTTTCTCCTGATCTTTCTGATTCTGATGAGAGTTTTTCAAAAATACGATCCAGAAAGTCGAAATTATGGCATTTATAAAGAAAATGAATTTCCCAAGTCCGGCTCTGGAATTTTTTTTTCATAGTAGGCCATCTTATGGAGTGTCTGTAGAGTTAGGTTGCTGATGAATTTCAGGCGATAACATGGAGACGTTGCTGAAATATCGTTCATCAAAATTTCAGCCCGAATTTTTTTTCTGATGGTTCTGGTTCTCACGAAAAAGGATATCCTGTAATGTTCAGAAGACATCGTGAGAACCAAGGGAAATAAGGTAGGAATTGGTGTTCTTCTAAGATTTCTTGAGGTTATATGGCTCGGGCCCTCGGGGAATATCTCCCTTGGCAATGTGTTGAATGTTTGGAGTCTTTGGAAAGATATGTTCTGCAGGTCTCCAAAGTGACCACGAAGGGGTGCGAAGCCTCTCAACTCGACGGGTTAATATCGCGGGGACTGCCAAGGGAGGAACAATTGTTGTTATTTCAGAAGAGCATCGTCCATGAAAATATCTATAAAATAGAGCCAGATCGCCAACTTTTCTACAGTGTTCCAGAGAAGTGAGGGAGTTTGTGAGCGAGGCATCACCCACTAGACGACTTGCCCTTTTGTGGACAGATTCCAACAGTTTCAGGGTATGTTTGGGTGCTGCACTCCAAAAATGGGAACAGTATTTCAGGGCAGGTCGGATCTGTGACTTATAGATAATAAG